TAACTAAAAATAAAAGCTATAATAAAAATTTTTACCTATTTATGCCTTATATATTAATATATTATGGCACCTTAATACTAACCTTATAAAAAATTATCCGCCCTACTAAAACTAAATTACCCTTTTTTTAAAATTAGTATAAATTTTATTATTAGCCTACCGCCTAGCATGTATTAAAAATAATATATTAATATTATTTTTATAATAGTAAACTATTATATAAAATAATATTAATTTATCCCATTTTTAATATTAATTTAAGCCTATAAACTAGCTAAAGTTTTTTATTAAAATTAAACTTTAAATTATAGCTAGTTAAAAGGTATTATATTTAATTAAAACTTTTTTTTATAAGTAAATATTAAAAAAAGCTATAATTTTATTATAAAACCAAGTTATATTTATTAACTACTTTTTACCCCTAAACTAATAGATAAACCAAGCAAATTAACCAAGTTTTAAAATAATATTTATATTATTTTATTATAAAAAATTATTATGCCTGGCTTATATTACTTAAAATAGTATAATTTACCTATAATAATACTAAAAATATTATTATTAAAATATTACCTTTTTAAGCTATATATAGCCAAGACCTAAAAATTATAGTATAATTTAAGGTTAACCCTAAATAAATAAAGGTACTAGCCGCATTAGCCAGGATTAAAAAACTTAAAAAAATTTAAGCTAAATATAAAAAAGACTAGGAAAAAAACATAAAACACTATTAAACCTATTATAATAAAGGTTAAAAAAATATAAAGTTTAAGCTAAAATAACCTATTAAACTTAGTACTAAAAATTTAAATTTAAAAGTGCTAATAAAACTTAAGCCTAAGTTTATTAATTTCTTTTAAGTACTAAATAAAATTAGTTTTATAATATATTAATTTCTACTTCCTAAAAAGTATTATTAAATATATAATATTTTTTATATTTTATTACTTAAGCCTTAATATAGTAAAATTAATATAAAAGCTATGCCTAATTTAAAAAAAAATAAAAAATAAAAGATTAATAATATTATTAACTATAACTTTATTAAAAATAAAGACTTATACCTAGTAAAATAAAAAAAATAGTTTTTAAAATATAATTAATAGGTTTTTATTAAGAATATAAATGCACTAAATCTTATTTAAAAGTATAAAAAAAGGCAAGTATAATAAGATAATTATTTATTATTTAGTTAAAAGTAAAAACAAGACCTAACTTTAAGTTAAAATATACCTAATATACCTAAATAAAAAAACCCTAATAAAATATTACCTAAAAATTATTATTTTAGTTTTAAACTATAAGTAACTACAAGAAACTATAAACCTAGAAAGTAATAAGCGCTAAAGTAATAAAAAAAAATAAAATATTATTAAGGGGACAAGGCCCTAATATTATTAAGTTATTACTTAATATAATTAAACTAAAAAATAATAAAAATAAATAACCAAGGCGTTAAAAAGGTACTAAAAATAAAATAAAATACTAACTTTAAAAAAGTAAAAAAATAAAAAAATATTATTACTAAAACTAAGTATATAATAAACCTGGCTAAATACCCTTAATAATAATAGGAAACTTTATTTTAATATAAGCAAGTTTAATATTAAAATTTAAAGTATTAATAAAATAAGCCTGGTAGGCAAGCTTAACTTTTTTTTAAAATTAAAATTTAATAATAAACTATTAAACATGGCCTAAATTACCAGGGAAAAAATAAAGGTATAACTATAAAATTTTAATATTATTTTTTATATTAGTAGTAAAAAAATTTATAAGCTAAATAATAAAAAGTAAGGTATAATATAATAGTACTTTAGTATAATATTAAAAATTTAACTTTTATTAGTTCTTTTTTACCTTACTTAAAAGAAAGAATTTTTTTTAATAAGCTTTTTTTATATTTTTAAAGGCCTTTAGTAATTAGATTATTATAAAATAGGTTTAAAATATAAATTCCTAGCCTTACTAATATTTTTTATTTTTTAAAAAAAGCTTTACCCTTTTATTATTAGTTCGCGAATAAAAAAAATAATAATATTTAACTAAAAGCTATAAATTATAGACATCCCCTATTATTATTACTTTAACTTAAAAAATATAATAAATTAGCTATAAAATATAAAAAAAATATTAAAAACTTACCGGCTTGCAAACCTTATTATAGTAAAAATAAGTTTTATATAAAATTAATATAATAATATTAAATTTATAATTAAATTAAAATAGCATGTTATTATTATTTAGATTACTAGCTTTTAATATAAACTAAAAGTATATTAAGCACTATAACATAGCTAAATAAATAAGTATATATAATAAAGCCCTATAGGTTCCGCTAGCTTTTTTACCTTTTTTAGGCTTTTTTTTTGTACTATTTATAGCGCCCTTTTTCTACTTGCCTTTTCCTTTTAAATTATTTAAGAAACCTTTACTATTCCTGTTGCTATTTTTAGTGGTAGTAATAGTAATTTTTAGCAAGGAAGGAAAATAGATTTTAAACCTTATTATAGGGGCCATAAGATTGGATAACTAATAAAAAAATAAAAAAATAAAATATTAAACTTTAAAAAATAAAATAGGGGAACTAAAAAAACAAGATAAAAAAATTAAAAAAGTTAAAAAAAAAGACCGGGAAGTAAATAAAAATTTATTTTTTTATATTTAGCTACTTATATAATATTAATAATATAACACCATAATAATTATATTAACCTTTTTATTATTTATAAAATATTGCTTATTTATAATTTATTAATACTTAAATTAATAAAAAGTAACTTAAAACTTTTATTATTTACTAAAATAGCTACCTTAACTACTAAAAGCAAAGCTATTTAATAGTAAAATATTAATAAAAAAATATTATTTTAAGCCTTAAAATAACCCCGCATTTAATAATAAATTATTTTAAATAAAAAAACTAAATAATTAAACATAAAACTAAAGTAAAATAATAATAAAACATACTTATTATAGGAATTAAAGCTATTTAAAAATTAGGTTAATTTTAATTAAAAAAGGGCTAAGTTATTACACTTATAGGTGCTAAGCCCTAATAAAATAAGAAAATTAATAAAATAAAAATTATAGTAATATTAATTTACCATGTAGTAATAATATTACTACTATTTTAATAATATATTTAAGACTAACACCCTAGTAAAAAATAATTAACTAAAAGTTAGTTTTTATATATCCTAGGCCTTAAGATTTAATATTAATCCCCTATTAAATAGCCCTCTTAGTACTTTGTTTTGTACCTGGTTAGCCTACTCAAGGTTTTCACATAATATTTAAATTAAGCTTGCTTTAAGTAATTAAAGTTTTATATATAAATAGTATAACTTTATTATTTTAAATACTTAAAATTATCTATAAAAAATAATTAACATATTACATGGCCTATTTATCTTTTTAAATAACTTATAAAAGTTTTTATTTATTATTATATAAATTATTGCTAAAAAAGTACTATATAAAGTTATTTATTTTTTAAAATACTTATTATATATATTACAGGCCTTAAGGTATTTTTTATACTTTTTAAAGATTAATATATTTTTAGTAATTTTAGGTTTTTTTAGTATAAGATAAACCTTTTCTTTTTTTTTAGTTACTTTATTATTATTAATTTAAAAATGCTTTTTTTTATTTTTTTTATATTTTACTAAAGTTTCTTGGGAGCGGTTCCCTAAGCTTTTACTTTTTTAAAAGTTATTTTTTTTTAATATTTAAATTTATATAGTTTTAAATACTTATTACTTTAGTATAGTTTTTTAACTAGTTATACTATGTTAACCAGTTATTATTAATATTTAAAATAATAAAAACCTTACTAATTATTAAGGTAGGGTTAAAAAAGTTTATAATAATAAGTTATAGGTAGTTATAAGTGCTTTAATTTACTAACTAGCTATTATATTTTATAATTAAATATTTTTACCTAATAAAATATTACTAGGCTTATAATTAATAACCTTGTAGGTTAATTAGTTTAGTAGCACTAGGTAGTAATTTAATATTTACTTAATAGTAAATAATAAGGTAACTTTAACTAAGGATAACTTAATAAGTATAAATAATAAAAGGTTTAAATTAAAAAATATTTAAAAAACTAATTAAAATATTTTAAATAAGCTATATTCCAAAGCCCTAGCCCTATTATATTTAAAGTAATAAGTAAATAAATTTAGATGGGTGTTCTCTAATAAGCGGAGGAAAAATCTGTTGGTAATCGGCCTAAGGCATCCACAAGTCTGACAGATCTACCGGTAATATAAAGACAAAGGTTGAGTCGACAGTCTCAGTAGCGAGACGACCAGATAACTGTTGCCAAGCGAGTCGCTCCTTCCTCAAGACAAATGATCCCGCTCTTAAGCGGGAATAACCTTGTGATCCAGCAGAAGAACAAATAAGCAGTCTAACAAAATCAAAATCAGTTCTCCTAACCATACTTCGAGTTGTGCATAGACCCCCAGGTTATTTTTGCGCATGCGTATACCATCACTCCGCAGCTACGTTCGCGACCGCTGAAGCATCCTGCCCAGACTTGATGAAGATTAAGCATCTGAGCATGAGCCTGGTAAGGTATCCCCCGAGTCCGAAGCCAGGGTACACTTGGACTAAGATGATAATAAATGCCAATCATGTTGGTATATATGATGTGAGGGCCTTCCATAGTCCATTGTGATAAGCCTTGGCGCCGTGCATGCACGGCATTGAAAGCACTTTACTCACGAGAAGATTACAGTCAATGACCATTATTATTCGCCCTAAGACTTGTTTGCGAGTCTCCTAGCTACTATACTATATATAGTAAGGCGTCTGATGCCCGGGATCTTGGTAAGAAAGCCACCGCGTGGTAAAGAAACCAGATTGCCGAGCCCCAAGCTGTAGATGGACGTAGGGACAGGAGGTAACCTTGGAAGTTTAGACGGATTGCTGAAAGGTGGCCCTGCCGTGCCCCAGCGCCATGAAAGAGCCATGGTCAGCTAGTATTATTGCTCGGCATCCTCCTCAAGGCCTGCAAGCTGCGAACTATTGATATCCAACCCCAGCGGCTGTTGGATGTCCTTGAAGAGCCGAGTAATACGTGCTAGGAGTCTACACTCCGGCTCTTCAGAGCCGTGACACGAATAAGAGGAATCTTCTGCCTTGGCAACAAAGCGTTCCATCAGAGGTCCGAAACCGATGCCGGGATAAGGGCGTTTGGGTTCGGGAATTAGGAGGCCCTCGGAATACATATGAGTTGTGAGGTCTCCGAGTACAGAGGAAAGACAGAGATGTTTGCTGTCAGGGTCTGTAGGAGTACACCACTGGCTGTTGTTGTCACCGGTTGCGAGGTCTTTTAAGAGACCTTGCAGTGCGGAAATCAGATGCTCGATGCATCGGTAACGTGCCTCGTTGAGCTCGTCTGGTTACATTAGTATCATAGGACTGGTTTAGTGAAGAACTGGTGGGCCAAGCAAACCTACCTATAATGGTATCTGGCACACATAACAAGTTTCCCTCAATTGCATCGGTGCTAGTCGCCTGGATGACTTTTGTAATCTTTTGAAAAACATACTTCCCCTGAAAAACCCATGAAATCTGCAGCCACCATCTCGCATACTTGCTATAAACTCGAGGGAGATCTTTTCCAAATTTGCTAATCCACAGCTGTGCGGAGGCATTGACAGCCTCTTCACATTCAAGTTTATGGGAAAGCTCCGCCACGCCTGCCAGGGTAGAAAGCCCTATCTTTCGTGGAAGCAGTCGAGTCCGCCCATGGATAATCATCAGAACCAACAAGAAGATACGGGGGGGTTCATCGAACAATCCGATTTCGACAAAACCATGTTTCTCTATCTCATCCATGAAGTAAGGTAGCTGGCGCTCAAAGGTCTTGCTTGCCAGCATTAGATGTTTCGATGAGCAACGGATCTGATACTCCCGGTATTCTTCGTCGCCTGTAGGGTCAGGGTCGCGTCTATTTTTGGCATTACTGAGCCACTCAGGTGTCAATTCAGCCAAATCGGAGGGCAGCAGGCGGTCCTCGTCTCCAAGCACAATAACAATGTCACCGGTCGGGTCCAAATCATACGTGTCGTCGTCTTCGACGCTGACGGGTTGGGGGTACGTGCAGGTGATATTAAGCTTCCTGGCGCAGGCTTCGTCGGCGCCCACAATGGGCACTGAAGCGGGGGACCCTTCCTTCGGGGAATTCGTGGCAGGTTGAAGGCAGGCCTTTTTGGTGGTCTCGGTAGCCGGGCTCGAGCCAGGTTGAGGGTCAGGAGAGATTGGTCTTTTCATGATGTTGAACGACGAGGGTCATGAGAGTGGAACAACAAGAATCAAGAGAAAAACAAAATGGGAAGAAAACGCGTCTGCGTGCTGTTATCACGTGAGCCCTCAGCTTGCTCCACTCAACTGCCCGGCCAGCCTGTACGTATAGCGGGCCGTCATATTCAAAAGGTCGCCGGAACGTTAACTGGACATGCCACTGTCAGTTAGGCGCTGATAACTAAACGATGAATACGCTAGGCGACGGCTAGGTAACACGAGGCACGTCTTTAGATCAAAATTCAGAACAGAATGAGGCCAAAGGATAAGTTGGCATTGAGAAGATCTCGTGGAGCGAGGTGGTGAAATAACTCAACGGGCGAGTTGCACCTTCCTCCAGAATGCCTAACAATTGGAATCCTGCTTCGAGCATTGCCACCAGTCAGCGCGTACAAGAGCGGGCCCTCGGCAAGAACACAAAATGGCCGTTGATTGTAGCTTCCCAGACCCTGTATGCTGTTTCCCACACCCCGACATGGCAAATGCCTTGTCATCAATATCAGACCCCGTTGGATCCGTGCACTCGTCCAACATAGCACCTTCGACTTCGCCAGCGCAAGAACGAATTGTTTATCATGAGAACCGGCGTACGGTGTATATCAAACTTTCGGAGTTACGGATGCCTCAGGCAGAAATTGGTTATATAAGATTGGGATAAGAATCAAGGGGTAAATAAAATATAAGATTTTTTTAGATTTAAAATAAATAAGGATATGTAAATTTAATAACTAGATATAGGAAAGTTTAAGCTATATATATTTTTTTAATTAGGTTGTAAGATCCAGCCAAAGTTAAAGGTTAATTTTTTTTTATTTTTAAAAATTAATTCAAGTTATTTAACTAAGTTTACCGCAAAAATTTAAAAAATCTTTATTTTTTATTTAATACACCTTTTAATACTTTAAAAAAATAAAAGCACTAATACTAGGCGTTAAAAATAGCTTTATTTTAATAAAACTAAGTTAGTAAATAAATATTTTATGGCACGGGCTACTAAAAAGTTTAGTAAAATTATTTATTAATTAATTTTTAATTTTTATTTAATTAACTTTAATTTTTTTATCTTAATACTTCTTGCGTAGCTAATAATAATAAAAAATATTAATATAATAAAGTTATATAATAAATATAGAATTATTTAAGTTAAGTAATTATATAATTTAGGTATTATTATAAAAGAGGTGTAATTTAATTTTTAAATTAAACTTAATAATATTAAAAAGTTTTTTTTATTATATAAGGTTTTTTACTTCCTTAGTAATAGTAAGTAATTTAGCTTTAGTAATAAAAATAATAATTATTTTTTATTTATAAGTATTTTAATTAATTAAACCTTTAAATAGCTTTATAAGCTATTTATTAAAGTTATATTAATTAAAATTATTACTAAAAAAGTATTAAATACCATGGTAATAATCTTTTTAGTATTAGCTAAGTATTTAATTTTTAAGTTTTTTTATAATAATAAAATACTAAATAATATATTTAACTATTTTAATATAAGTTTTAATAAACTATATTATATGCTAAGCAAGTTTACTAGCTACTTTAAATATATTAAGGCATGTTATTATAATAAAATAAAAAAATAAGTTAATAAATTATTAATATAAGAAAATATTTTACTTTATAAATATATAATTTAAAAGCATAAGTATTAATTTTTTAATAAGTAAAAATATTTTTAATATTTTACTTAGTCCTATAAGGTTATATTTAGCCTGTAAATTATTAATATAAAAATCTTAAAATAACTAAATTTTTTAATTATAATAATTATAAATAATTTTAATATTTAGGAACTACTTTACTTTACTAAAATTTTATAATTTATATATATGCTTTATATATTTAATAAAGTTAGTAGCCTTTTTTTTAGCTTTAGCTAATTTCTTACTTATAATAAGTATATTATTAATAAAAAAAAATAATTATAAAATACTTTATAATAAAAAGGCAAGGCTTTTCCGGCACTAGCTTAAAGCTATATTTAAAAAGTATTAAAAATATTTTTTTATTAAATATATAGTAATTATTTAAGGCTATATAAAAGTTAATTTAGCTTAAATACTTTACCTTTAACACGCCAGGGGCTAGGTAGTATTTTAATATATTTTTTTTATTTATAAAGCTTTAAATAAAGGTGTTAATAATATTTAAATTAAATAATATTAAGATTAAAATAAGTAATAAGTATTATTATAAGTTAAAATAATTAAGTAGCAAAAGTTATTACTATAGTATGAATATAATTAATAAGTTAAAAATCTTTTTTAATATAAAGGCGCGCTTTAAATTTATTTAAATAACTAGTAGTATTAAATATATATTTAAATACTTATATAAGTAATATAATAATCTTGCTTTTTAATATAAAAATAATTTTAAAAATATAAAGTTTTTTAAAAGTACTAAATTTAACTTTAGCAGCCTTCATAAACTAGTTTTTATATAAATACTTTATAAGTTTTATTTAATTTTTTAGTTTTTTTTAAAGCTAATTTTAGTAAATAGCTTTGCTTAATACCTTTTTTAATAATTTAAAAGGCTTAAAAATTACTAAGTAAAAAAGATATAATATTTAGTAAAGTTTTTTACTAGCTAGTAAAAAAGTTTAAAATAAAAARCCCTAAAAAAAGGTCTTTATATTAAATAATTTTTATTTATAAAATTTTTTAAATTTTACTTTTGGTGCAGGCAGTTATATTAAGCCTTTTTATTTAATTTAACTTATATAATTAAAAATCTAGAATTAGGGTCCCACTCCCCCTTTTTTATATTAATTTTATATAGTTTTAGGTTAGTTTTAACAAAGAAAAAGTAGTATTAATGTTTTTTTTTATTATTATTTTTATTTATATTATTTTCTAGTTATGGGAGCCCTCTAGTATTATTAATTTTAAAGTTAAAAATCTTTTTATTTTTCTTGCTTTTTACCACCTAGTAAGGTGTTATTAAAATAATTTTATAATTATTATAGGTTTAAAAGCTTTAATTAATTATAATACTTACTAAGCTTAGGCTAGCTACAAGAGTAAGTAAAATTATAAAATTTTTATTATTATATAATATTAAGTTACTAAGTAAGTTAAAAATAGCTTTATTTTAAGTATTAATTTTAATATAAGGTTTATTATTTTTAACCTTTTTATTTTTACTTATTTTTATATTATTAGGCTTAAAAGTAGGCTTATTTTAATTATTAAGTTTAAAAAAATTATTTTTAAAGTTAATTAAAAATAGTATATTAACTAGTTTTTTTTTAATATATGCTAGGATTACGTATTTTAAACTAGCTATATAAGTTAAGTTATTTTTATTATAGGTTCTTGCCTTATTAAATATTATATTTTTAATTTAAATAACTAAATATTATATGGCTTTAGCACGAGGGCTTTAAATTCTTTAAATATTATAGGCTTTTTTATATTTATAATAATATTTAATAGCCACTCTTGGCTTTATTTTATAAAAGTTAGGGATTTTTAGCTATTAATAGGTAAGTAATTTAAACTTAAAAATATTAGCTATATTTACTAGGTAAGTATTACTTATTAATACTTAAAACTTTTAAAATAATATAAATTATTTATTTCTTTATTTTTTATAGGCATGTAATTTAATATATAAATAAATATTTTTATAACTTTAAATATAAAATTTTAGGGTATATTAACAGCTAATAAAAGTGCTTTAACTTTTTATAAAATAGCTTTTTTTAATTACTTGCTTGCGCTGTTTTATTTAGGTATATTAAAAATAATAATTTTAAAGGCTAAACCCTATTATTTTTTAATAAATTTAAAATTATTTAAAAGCTATAATATCTTATTATTTATATATAAAAACTAAATATAAAGGCTAAATTACTTAAAAATATAAGTATTAAGTAATTAAATAACATGCTAGTAATTATTCTTTTAGCATGTAATATTATTTACCTTATTTAGGTAGTATTATTTAAAAAATAAAAGGTGTATTTTATATTATTTTAAAATACTTTAAAAATAAGAATATTAAAATAAATTTTTTTAAAGGGTCGGGTTGCTTTAGTTAATTTAATTTATAATATTTACTTAAAAAATTATAAAAGTTTACATGGCATGTAAAGTAGTTTTTTTTTTTTACTTTTTATTAAAAGGCTAAGGCGCTGGATTAATTTATATACTAGTTATAAATATTAAAAGTTTAAATATTATATTAGTATTAAGGTAGCCTATATACTTATACTAAATTTTTAGGCTTTTTAATAATATTTTTAAAATTATAAAATATTAAATTTTTATTTTTATTATAGTATAAAGGGCCTTAATCTCTTTATTATTATTAATATTAAAATTTTTATAGTAAATTATATATAATTTATAATATTATTTAAGTATATAAATTTTTTTTTAAGTTTTTAAAAGTTCTTTTATAACTATTAAAATATAAATTTACTAACATGGCTTTATTAAGGGATATAATAGTAGTATAAAAACTAAAAATATAAGTATAATTATTAAGCTATAAAAGCTTTTTTAAGCTATCTAGTCCCTTATAAAAAACATAAAGTATAATAAACTTTTTAATTTTATTAATAATATTATTAATAAAAATAATATTATTTTTAAAGGCATCGTGGATATTAATTATTTTAGTAAGGTTATTAATAATATATATAAAAAATTTAAAGTTAATAATAATACTTTAATATAGGCTATATTATAAGCTATTAAATAGTAAATAAGTAATTATTATTATAACTTTTTTTAGGTTTTTAAAGTTATTTTTTAGCCTTAATTTTAAATATTATTATATTAAATTTAGATTTTTTAAAGGTGCTTAGTTTTTTTTTAATAGTTAAATTTTATATATTTTTTTTTACTTTTTATAAAGTTTTTTTTTAAGACTTTTAATCTTTTAAAGCTTTTTTAGCATTAAAATATAGTAAAAAGTAATAAAATATAAATAGCTATATACTAGGCATGTTAGCTTTAATTTATTATTTTTATTTTTATTTTTTTTTTTAGATTTCTTGTTATTTTTAGTGTTTTTATTTTTTTTATTTACTAAGTTATTTTTTTTAAGCGTGGTAAAGGTATTATTTATTAACTATTATTTAAATTTACTATATATAGTATAAATAGCCTAAAGTATATAAAAATTTTTAAACTTTTTAATAGTATTAATAAAATTCTTTTTTTTAAAAAAAATGGCCATGTAGAGCCTTTAACTAAGCTTTTTATTAATAATTATAATAATATATATAAAGTTTTAAAGTATGTTAGTATCTTAATTATTAGTAAAAAGATTAAACTTTTTAGCTTTAGTAAATATACTAACCTAGTAGTTATATTAATTATTAATTTACTTTTTAATAAAAAAGCCTTAATAAATAGCTACCTTTTTTTATTTTACCTTAATTTTTATTTTATAAGTAATATTAAATTATATATAATACTTTATAAAAAAATTAAAGTATTATATGTAAATATTCTTGGCTATATAAAAGTTATTAGTAAAAGCTAAATATAATTAAAATTATATAAGCTATTATTATACTAAGTAAAGCTTTATATTTTTTTTAGGTAAAATATTTTTTATAATAATATAATATTTATTTTATTTATTAAATATTAAATAACTTATTTAAAGTTTACCTTTTTTTAAAATATTAAAATAAAAATCTTTAAAAATTAGCCTTGGGCCAATAAAAATAAATAATAAGTTTTTATTATTAATTAAAAAATTAATATAGTTTTATATTATAAGGCCTATAATTATTAATTTAATAATTTAATATTATAGGCGCTATATATTAAAGCTTTTTAAAATTATAATATTAAACTAGGTGTTTATAAATAAAAGTTAAAAAAATTTTATAATATATTATATAGCAAATAAGAAAAACTTTAAAAGTTTAAATTTAAATAATAAATAGCTTTAAAAATAATTATATAAATAATATTTAAAAAAGTAAAGTATAACCCGGGCTTATAACTTTTAAAGTTATAAATATTTTAAGTAAAAATTAATTATATAAAATTAAAATAAAAATTAAGGGGTAAATAAAATATAAGATTTTTTTAAATTTAAAATAAATAAAAATATATAAGTTTAATAACTAAATATAAAAAAGTTTAAGCTATATTTATTCTTTTTTTTATATATTTTATTTTTTAATTAAGTTATAAGATTTAGCTAAAGTTAAAGGTTAATTTTTTTTTATTTTTAAAGGTTAGTTAGAGTTATTTAACTAAGTTTACCGCGGAGATCCAAGGGATCTCCACCTCTTATCTAACACAAACTTATACTCTGCCAAGTCATTGCATTAGTAATGCGAGTAGCAGGCCATAAGATATCTCCACACTCACGTCCCCAGCATTTCAAGCTATGCCTTCTTGTGCCTAGCCTCCTCACTAGGCTGCGGGATCTTAACGTCAATTTGACACAATGCTGATCCCCGATCTTACCTTGTCATCTCACATCACCAGCAAGATGGAGCCTCAGTCATATAACGGAAGCACACCCTGGAATTCCGACTTTATTCCCGGTCCTGCTCCCCAGCAGTCATCCGTCAATGCCGAAAGCGAGTTCCGCTGCGGCATCTGCAACAAGACATACAGCCGGCGTACGCCCCAACCCACTGCTAGAGTAACTGGACAAGATTGCTGATAAATACACCTAGGCGATCTCCGCGACCGCCACCGCCGGCGCTGCATCAAGACAATAGGCAAAGAGCGTCCGTCGAAGCGCAAATCCTGCGAGACATGCGCGCGGAAAAAGCTGCGTTGTTCCATGGCCCGTCCGGCGTGTAGTCGCTGTCTGCAGATCGGGATCCAGTGCCTTTATCCACGGTCTGTTATTCCAGTCCAGCATCAGCGCCAGGACCGGCATGAAAGCTCGCCGGGTGAGTCGTGGATGTCGTCGACGCTCGAGGCCTCGTTTGGAGGGGCTGGGACGATCCAGCCATTCCTCATTCAGGATTTGGAAAGTGGAGGACTAAGCCAGATGAATAGGAACGGAAGTGGTTTTAGGGGTGCAGGTGCCCTTGTGCCTGAGTTTGCAGACCCAGTGGTTGGGGCTGGTGTTTTCACGAACATAGACATGTTCCAGGATCCAGCTCTACTGGCGCCTATCTCGTGGAATGAAGAGTTCTCGCTCTCATCGCAGTCTCTGGGGCAGGACGAGGAGATCCTCGATTCAATCAGTCGTAACCATTCAACGTCTGGCTCATTCCAGTGCCATTTCGATGCCCAAGCTGCAGGTGGAGGAGCCGCACAGTCCGTCTTAAGGCTATTTGACCACCCCAACCCTAACTCTCACCCCGCCGCGACAATGTCGTCTCTGTCCTCCAACACCGGCAGCTCCCTTCCAGACACCTCAGCCTCGGGCTCGGACTCAAGCGCAACCTCAATCCGCGCGCCCTCCACCCCCTTCAACCCCTCCGCCTCCACCCAACTAATCTTCGCCCACGACTTCCATCCCAAACCCCCTTACAACCCATCAACCCTATACCAAGACGTCCTCTCCACCCTCCGCTCATACCCCTCCCTAATCCTCCAGCGCGACCACTGGTCCCCCTTCGTGCACCACCAACTATACCGATGCTCAACGGGCGGGATGGCGAAGCCCATGGGCGTCGCACTGGCCTGCGTCTCCGCGCACGCGGGCTCATACGGCTCAAGCCACGGGTTCGTCGATAAACTGATCAACTCCGAGCGCGCGCAGCTAGTCCGCAATTTCCCGACGTATCTTGATACGCCGGAGAACTGTATCGCCACTGTGCATGCGGTTTGTATATACCAGGTTCTCGGGCTCCTTGGGCATGAGTTTTCACCGGCTGCTGTGAAGCAGTCCCAGGAGATGCAGGGTGAGATGGAGAAGGGGAGGGAGGAGTGTGAGCGCGAGGCAGAGATGCATAGTTCGTTCTTGCTCAAGGTACGCCATTCCCACCCCATTCAAATTACCCCAATACCATCCCATGCGGGTGACAGCTAACTATTTGGCTGCGTAGATGGCCCGCCGCCTATACAACCACCACCGCACCGCAATCCTCACACCGCACTCCACCGAACTGAACTGGGAGCGCTGGAAATTCGCCGAATCCCTGCGCCGCAACATCTTCTTCGCGAATATTATCAACATCGTCGGCTCCCGCGCCGGAAAACTCAACGGCGCGTACTTTGAGCCCCTGGATGATGAGATGGTGCTGAATCTACCGCTCCCTGCGCCGGAGTGTATGTGGCGCGCTTGTAGTCTGCGCGAGTGGCTTGGGGCAAGGGAGTATGCGCTGCGTTTTAGGCAATCTGAGGCTGAGTCTAGGATGGACTCGGGACCCGAAGGTGAGGGGGGAAATACCAGATTGACACAGACGTTGAAGGGGCTGATCGAGGCTGAGGAGGAGGGGAGGCTGGATGTCAAGGCGTTGTTGCCGCTTACGAGGGTTATTCTGGCGAGTGTGAAGATTGCGCCGGCTGGGGGTTGCTTATAGTGAGGGTTGTGGCAGTACATAGTGCAGATGACAAGTGTACCTATCTTTTGTTAACGAGGTTGGAGGGTGACACTGGCACCGGTGCTGAAGGCTCGACCGTCCCTCATGTTTAACCTACATCAATACCATGGTTGTCAAAGTACCTAATCACATAAAGAAGGTTATACCTAGATATAGTACGGGTCATACGACAGCCGATGTATCCATTCCACATCGATAGCGAATGGCGTATGCATATAAGAAGACGCCTTGAAGAGCCTGGATACCCTGGTCCTGTTGCCACCGGAAACTGAAAAGCAGAGACTCTAATTCTTGTGTATCTGTCCGATGATGTTGCTGAACTGTGCCACCGCGAGTCTTATACTACGAGGTACTAATCCTGTAACAGAATCCGGGGGCTTTGCGTGCCCCCTTTTTTTTTGCACGGACATAGTCAAAGCTCCCTTGGTTCCTAAAGCAAGTAAGATGGAACCCAGTCGCCTAGGGCTACAGCTACGGAAGGTATGGGCATGGGACACGGACATCCACACTTGACAGATGCTCTTCTACCGTTCCGGGTGATCTTAGCTATGCACCTACTGTGATACAGAACCACCCAGTGGATACCATGTCTTCCTGTCCGTCTAGAATGTCCATCTAAGTCCAATGCCTCCAGTTCCAGGGAATAACCCAAGCAGCATTCTGAATCCATGAGGCGTCTACACCCTCCCCAGCTCCGCAATCCTCCCCGGAATCCGCGGCAGATCCTCCACCGTCCAGTCCGTCACAAGCATATGGCCCGGCTCATGCGCCATCGTAACGCCCTGCACTCGTCCAGCTCGCACCGCATGCCGTACCGCCACCTGGGGCGTAACGCCGCATGCCTGCATAGAACCTTGTCAGCTTCTCCCTTCCTTCCCGTCCATGAAACGACGAACCACATTATGGTAGTGAGGCGAGCGGCATACCCAGAAAACAGGAACCTCCCCCTCCTTGAACTCCTGCGCGTCCCCAAAGTCGGGATTATGGATATCCCTGACCCCGATCGATTTCGCCCCCTCCCACCCCCACGCAACGGGCTCCCCGTGCGTCGCGAGAAACGGCCTCGTGATATCCCTGACCCTCTCAATTTCACTCGGTAAATAAGTCCGCATACTCACGACCATCGAACTCCCCCAGAACACACCGGCCGGTAGAACGGGGATGGTACTCTGATACATGGCGACGACGTTCCCGGCAAGTTGATGGCAGATCCGCAGCCCGTTTCGCGTCAATGCATCCTCGAAACTAAACGAGCAGCCTATGAGGAAGCCGACGTGGTCGGACGTCCATTCATCCAGAATATCAGTTTTAACGCGTACACTCTTCCCATCCTCGGCGTGGACGACGTAAGACGGGAAATCGGTGCGGATGTCGAAGTCATCATGCTTAATGCATCCCTCGGGTAGAATCTTCTGCGGGTTTCCGACGGGCGTGAGTCCGAGTAATGGGCAGGGGACTGGATTGCGGGCGCAGAGGTCTTGGAAGGCCGATGAGTAGCGCGAGGGCAGAATGACGAGGTTTGCTTGCAGGTAGCCGGGGGCTAGCCCCGTTGTTGTTTTTACGGCGTTGGTGCGGCTGAGGAGGCGGGCTGCTTGGGATGGGGAGGGGGATGGGGATTGTGATGGAGATTCGATGGCCATGATGGTGGTCTTGCGGGCTAGGTGGTATACAGCTTGTATGTTGATGGGCGAGAGGGGGATGCTATCGTAGGGGTATGGTGACGGAGGACGTGTCCGTGATAAGGGCCTTCGGGGGTCTTCCGAAAAGATAGCTTATCATGGTATCATGGGATGTTATCATGTTGGAGATGTATCCTAGCTAGATCAGACGCAGATCGGCGAAGACGTGGCCAGCCCGCAGCATGTCTTATCTATTGGCGTACTGAAGCCCTATCTCCAACTCCCCGTCATCACCAGACCCTTCCGCCGATCTATCCAGACCTCCAGCTCTTCTCACAGCAGCATAAACCATAAACCACCCATGCTCTAACCGCCTCCTAGCTCTCAAATCCGATACTTATAGTGCACATCACAATCCCCATCCCTCATCCTCCTCCCATCCACCTCCCCACCCCGAATCCCCTCCTTAAGCCTATTCGCCCTCCAAAGCCACCACATATGCACGCCCACCAGCCCCTCCGCAACCACAATCCCGCCCAAACTAAACCCATTCCCAAGATAATACGGCGCCGATCGATAAATCTGCCCCGCCACAATCCCCGCCGCATTGCCGACAGTCTGCTGGATCCCGATCGCCGTGGCACGCCGGTACTGCGGCGCCATGTTGACGTTCAGCCAGGCGAGGTTCAGGCCCGTCCCGTTGTAGACTGCGATCGTGCAGATGAATGTCGCGAAGTACTTCACTGCATTAGACCTCACGCCCAGGAGGAGCGCGTACCCGATTATCCCGAAGGCGTTGGTAAGTAGGAGGAACGGCCCAGCAAGTGCGTATCTATCGCTCAGCAGCGCGAACGTAAAGAACCCAATCGCGCCGAAGACGTACACCGGGATAGTCAGGTAATTCGCCTGCAACGTACCGTAGCCCATAGCCGCGAGAATCGAGGGGAGGAACGTGCTGAACCCGTAGGTGAGAATATTCTGGCAGAACTGCGTGGCGGCGCAGAGCCAGACCTTGGGGTCGGTGAAGGCGAGCTTGATCTCGCGCCAGTCGAGCTCGTCGGGCCCCATGTATGCCTGGCGCTGCTGGTGGCGGATTGCCATGATGGACTTTTCTTCCTGGGTTAGGAAGTAGGCGTTCGTTGGGTCGTCGGGGAGGCCGAAGAAGATTGCGAGGGCGCAGAGGATGCTGAAGGCGCCTTCGATTAGGTAGACCCATCTGCTTCGTTAGTATGGACCATCGACAGGATATAGGATACGAAGGGGTTGTTGTAGGTAGAGCTAGACACACCTCCAACCAGCATACCGGCCCACCCCATCCATCTGCAAAAGCCCATAAGCCAGCAACCCTCCAAACGCACCGCTCAGCGCCGTGCATGACATCAAATAGCTAACGCGCCTCGCCATCTCCTCCCGCTTGTACACAAGCGTGAGGTACATATTCAGACTGGGGAACAGGCCGCCCTCGCATGCGCCCAGGACAAGCCGGCAGACGTACAGCCCGCCGATGTTGTGGATGAGTCCGTTCGCAATTGTTGTGACAGACCAGATGATGCACAGGAATGTAAGGATGTACCGCGGCGAGAAGCGCTTGACGAGGATGACGGAGGGGACTTCGACGGTGACGTAGGTTGCGTAGAAGAGGGAGACGGCGGCGGAGAACTGCGATGTGCTGGCGCCGATGTCTTCGGGCATACCGGCGACTTTGACATTGCCTATGCCATTGTTAGATTGAGCTTGGAGTTGGAAGGATGGTGATACCGATGTTTGATCTGTCGATGAAGCAGGATAGATAGACGATGAAGAGGACCGGTGTGAGGAAGATGTCGAGTTTCGCGAGAACGCGCTTCTCCTTCGCCGGATCGATTGAGAGTTCCTCAGATGCGATTTCAATGTCGTCTTTTGCTTGCCCGTCCATGCTGCCGGCAAGGGCGTCCTTTGTTTTGGAGACTCCCATCATAGCAGATTCAGACGGTGTCCGATCAGGGTTTAATCGCTTTCCAGCGGTATTCTAAAAGAAAAAAGCTAAGATACGGTAAAGCGCAATTGAGAGCTGTACTCGATCCCGGACAAAATGGTGCTTGTAGTGTCCAAAGAATGCGTGTCCAGCACTGTCTGATAAGAGCTTCGTGCGAATGCATCATAGATAACAGCAAGATAGCGCTCAAGGATCAAGCTTAGCGGTGGCATGATAAGACCCTGAGTTGGAGGCTAGCTCCAGGGAGATATGAGGCAGGCAAAGACGAGATAAAGACGGCCTAGGTAGGGTAGATAAAGATGCAGATGAGGTATCGTATCTGCTCTCTCGGTGGCCACGTCCGAGCAGGCCCGAGCGCGGTGGAGACCTTGAGCCCTAACAGCCATCTCGGAGGGCCGTGCATCAATCAATCAAGGTTTTGCTCGCGCAACTTGATCTGGAAAACGGTATTTCCAATCCCATCACACCGCTTGTGGGCTAAAGCACTGAGCGTAGCGTCGCGTCGAGTCTCCGTACTTTAATTATATGGTCAACAACGTTCCTAATACCCGCGCAAATGCACCGATATCCCAGACGTCTTGCACTCACCTAATGGATAGACTACCTATGGCCCGTCCTTACTACTGTTATTCTGAGGTGGGATTTGAAGCGCATGATGTCAGGTGCGGCGGAAGCATGGATGGAGGCCTGGAGCTCCGAATCTGATGCTAAGAGTCTTGCGTTACATTGAATGAGTGAGCACGGTAGAGGGAAGTAGACCTAGTGTCCAGAATCAATGTGCTAAGCCTTACAACCTTGGAAGCGTTTACGCGGGACATTTAGAGCAAACCTCATGTCCATAATGTCCATTAAGCACTACCCTCGAGTGGGTCCGACTGGAGCCCTTGATATGGTCCTCGGGCTTGAGGCAGCGCTTGCACTGTGGAATGAATATGTATATTGCGTCAAGTATCCCTTTATTCCAAGATTGGTGGGTACACATCCTAGAGACAGGGGCCCAGGGACCGAATTGCACACCTTCCCGCTCCAGTGAGGGCGTCGAATAAACGCGGAAGCCCAGAGAGTACGCAGACATCAACGGATTTCAAGGTTGCCAATTGCCCATTCTTCAAGTTAAGGGAGAGAAGTCTCTGCCATACACTCCTTCGGCCTCCCATACGCCTCATACCGCTGATTATATTCCGCCTCCGCCTCGTACACCTGCGTATAACTCCCCTCGAGTTCCACGTATATGGCCTCGACGCCGCCTCAAATGGCGCATCCTCTCGTACAACTCCGGCCGCACCGCTTTCCACTCCTGTTCGCGGACGTCGCTTTCCGGTTCGTTCTTGAGCAAGCTCGACCACTTGGACCATAGCCGAAGGATGACGAGCCAGGAGAGTAGAAGGCAAACGATGTGGGCGATGCCGAGGATGTCGAAGCCCACGTAGAGCATGTTGCCGTAGACGGTCCAGTCAACCGGGAAGCGCCAGAATATGCGTACAAGGGCTGCAGCGAAGTTTGATATGCCCCAGAGGACGATGGACAGGAGGAGGAGGACAGTGGGTGTCTGTGATGGCAGAGGTGTCAGCTGCGAGATTGACAATATGAGGTAGGACAGGGTAATGCGTACCATCTTCCCGCCAATGCACCGAGGGTGCCGTGTAACTAACCAAGTCGCCCAGAGTATGAGCTCCCAGCTGGCGGCCCAGGCGACGATATCCGCCGCAACATAGATCCGGTCCATTGCATACGAGTTGATGTAGGGGTCGGCGAAGCCATGGGTGCGGGACTTTGGGAAGCTGTTCACCCCGGTCATGCTGAAACTAAGGCAAGCGAGCAAGACCACGCCGACGAGCCACACGAAGTGATAGTTTCGCACGGGCTTCTGCCATGGTTGTCTCGTCGGATGTGTACGAGCGAGGAAGGCGTGGATGAGCCCGTAGAAGACGTAGAAATTGACACATACGGCGATCCAGTAGAATAGACTTTGTAGAATTGCCGCAAAGATGAACTTCCGCGAAAAGGGATCGTTGCCTGGGTTCGTCGCAATGAGGGCGTACCAAATGATTGCGAAGACGAAGTAACTGCAGGTGTGGTAAAGGTGAGTGAGTGGCCACACAATCGTGGCCACCGAGGAGCGGCGCGCTTATAGTAAACAGGACACCAGAGAAAGAGCAATCGTGCGTCGGGGCAGCTCTTTGGCTGCACCGCCCCTCCGACGTAGGAGGAACGCGATGTATCCGAAGAAGCCCAATAGCACAATCACTCCGATGCCTTCAAAGGCGACAACCGCCCGATTCGAGCTCAATGGCTCGTCAAAGCCAGGCACACTGGGCAGCAGCTGAGCGGTAAGGAGTTTAAGAAAGAGGGAAGGGAGAGAAGTTGCAACTCCCCTTCACGAGAAAGGCAAAGAGAGCTCTGTTTGTGCCGCTGAGTGGGATCGTCACTTTGTGCTACGAACCCTGAGACTAGCCCCGAGCTTCTGCTGGGTTCGCAGAGCTGGCCATTGGACTGTCGCTGAAATTAGCCCATCCTGGAGATGCTGGGCCTGTAGGTTAGAACCAAGGCGCATGATTGGGTCTGCTTAAAAGATTGAAACGGAGCAGAGACAAACAGAACGCCACACACCTCAGGTGGCACGAAGGAGCAAGGATGAGCACTTGCAAGCCCAACGGTCACCAAATAACCGATATCTGGGGTCGAACCTGAGCCTCGTCCAGCTGTCGGTCACTCCAGTAAGACACTCGATGACTCCAGGGCTAGGTAGCTAATGTCCTGATATATCATCAGGGTCCAGCCAGAATGAACACGGGCTCTGAAATGCACAAGGCTATCTTGCGGATTTCAATTCCGACAGTAACAACAGCCTGAAACAAGCCCCGTGTCTTTCTGCCCAATTAAACCCTAAGCAGAAGATGATGAGTGCAAAGAGCGTTCATGCGAGAGAGAGTCAGGGACGTGCACTCTTTTTCAACAGCTATCGCGCGGCCTCTGGATCAGGCAAGCGCCGCTGCACTGGTCCAGCTCTGGGGCTCAGAAAACGGCAACGACCGTTAGGGGCCGTTGGGACGGACCGGAGGAGATTGGGGCGTCTCTACGGGAATCCAGTGGCCCAGCATAGCGCATGTAGTGCTCTCCACCCGGGAAATAACAGCGCATAAGCTTCGCTCAGTCGGATGGCAATGATTCCTGCTGCTGCTGCGGTGTCCGCCTTCTCAGCGCAGCTGAGCTCCAGCTTACAATTAATGCGTGCTCATTGACCTAATAAACCCGGTGCGGAGTGAAGAGACCGCATACCGTAGCATCCATTTGTTGCTAGTATCTCTCGATCTGGCGACATCGAGACGTGGACTATTGCCCTAGGTTCCAAGCTGGCGGTTGCGATTCCCTCGGTCACCATTAGGATAGCACATCAAGCGGCTTAGTACCATGTCAGCAGAGTGGAACAAACGGGTGACGAGCACTCTCCAACTGCCCCTCCTCTCGCAGTTGCTCTGCTTACCGGTCTCATGTACCCGCAATAGCTCGTATACGGTTTAGAAGCCCTGCCTACCCATTTCTCAGGCCGCATCTCCATGCTCCTCTTCTTCTTCTTCGCAGCAATAAAACCCCAAGCCTCGGGGGTGTACCGGCCGCCTAGGAGGGCTCGTGTGCCCTCGATGGTGTTGTGTGCGTCGTCGGTGTAGAAGTTGTCCTTTACGAGGAAGGGGATGCCGTGCATTATGCTGCGGCGGGTGCAGTTGCTGGCTTTACGTTCCGCATGAATTGAAGCCTCGAACAGGGCATCTGGGTTGATCTCACTTATCGAATGCGGATACCTATTCCTCTGCTCGATCCGGTCGAGGTAGCACATCCCCAAATCCTGGCTCGTAAGCTTCCCCTCGATCATGTATTGTTCGAGAGTGAGTATGGAGGCATCTTCCATAACCCCATTGCAAGTCGGCACTGGCTACATTCGTCATTAGCAATATCTCGACTTTAGCGGAAGTAGATGATTCACTTGGGAATGGGTTCGCGCCTGCAGCCCCTGAAGGGAGCGCATTCGCGACGCCAACAGCAACGCCATAGACTGCAGCCTGTAGCAGCCGCCGTGACAGACGCATGGTGTCCAGAGACCTAGCTTTATGCATAAAGCCATGTGGCATGCTAAGACGAATGACGGTAAAGCTCTCATCAAAACGTCAATCAAAGGTTGCAGCATCATCTCGGCCGCGAACTCCAAATAGCAGGGAATCTACTCCGTAGTCCAATTCCCAATGTGATTATGGATGCCAAGCGGCAATAAAGGGCGTGCGTCGCCGAAAAAATGTTGTCGATTCCGAGATGCCCATGCGCATGATGGTAGATAGACTGAAGCGTTCATTGCCATGCGGTAGGGTTCCACGTACTAATGAGCAACCTACCTAGTTTCTCGGTCTCGTCAGAGAATACGGCGGATGAGCTCGACGCCGGCGCCAGTAAAAAGCTACTTGATTCTCAGTCGACCAGATATCATAATCATACATTAACGTCATACCAAATCCATCAAACAACCTCCTTCCCCCCATCCCTCCGAACCTCCATTCCACCACCGACTCCCAGACCAAGAACACCCTCATCCTCAAACGCCTGATCCCCAAACAAGCCCGCAATTTCCTCGAGACTGGCATTTGCCGTCTCCACATAATAAAAGTAGACGAGCGCAGACGAAAACAGACAGAATCCCGCGATGATGATGTAGAAGTATCCGTGGATCCCGGCAAAAGCATCAGGCGAGACCATGCCGATAATGAAGTTGAAGATCCAGTTGCTTGTTGTTGCGAGCGCCATGCCCTTGCTCCGGCCTCGCAGCGGGAAGATCTCGGCTGGGAGGAGCCAGGGCATTGGGCCCCAGGTGAAGCCGTAGACGATGTTATACAGCATCACGAAGGCGTATTGGCCCGAGGCTTTGGTCTGGATGGAGAGATCGGCTTGCGTGAAGGCGCAGACTATGGCGAGGAGGACGGCCATTCCGAGACCTGTATATATGTGAGTTGTGTTGGGGGGTTGAGGGGTTGGCTTCTTACCTCCAGTAATCAGCAGAGGCTTACGGCCCCAGCTATCTGCCAGCCACCATGTAACGATAGTGGCAGCTGTGTAGGGAATCGCATTGGCGGCGGTGTACAGAAGAGACTTTCGTTCATCGAACCCAGCAGAAGCAAGCGTAGTGGGAAGATAGAAGGAGATGATGTTGATTCCATTCAGCTGGGCGAACATCTGGACCGTGATGCCTACGATCGTCCGTTTACGGTAGCGGGTAAACATTTCCTGTCCTAGTCAGCTTGACCGAACCCATAACTGTTTGGCTGCTTACCGTCCAACTAGACTTGCCAAGGTTCGTCTCATAGATGACGGCTTCCTGAATCTCGGTGTAGACTTGTTGAACGTGCTCTGCCTGTGTATCGCCATTGGAATGGAGATCGGCGACTGTCTGCAGACTCTCCTGCATGAAACCATTCTTCGCCAGCCAACGCGGTGTCTCTGGAAGGAAGAACGACATGGCCAAGAGGATAAAAGACAGAATGATCTGGACGATGAACGGACCCTTCCATGACATCGCATCCGGAAGCAGGAAATTGAAGCCATAGTCAACCCAGCAACTCAACATATAGCCGGCAATCGAAAACGTATACTCGATTCCGACCATCATACCACGGCGATGCGGTGGGGCAATCTCTGTCTGAATGATCGGCACGGTCATAGAGAGGAAGCCAACACCGAGTCCCTGGATCGTTCGTCCGGCGATAAACGTAGCGAACCCTGGCGCGAACATCTGGATAAACGCACTAAAGAAGTAGATGAACCCGCCGATGCGGACGCACTTCTTTCGCCCGACGATGTCACCGAGGCGCCCTGCGATCAGAGCGCCGACGGCGGCGGAGGCCTGTAAGCAAGCAACGGAGATACCGGTGATGGACGAATTAACGGTATCGGTCGATCCGTCTGCGCCGCCGTAGTCCTTGAAGAACCGGCTAATGAAGACCGGGTTGACGAGGAGTCCGGACATGATTCCTACCCGGATATGGATCAGCTTCAATGGTTTCTTCTGATGTGGGTCTCCCCAGAGGCTATACCAGAGTTGTACCCAAACAAGGCATCTCCCAGACTTCCAAACGCACAGGTAGCATATAGAAGTGGCTTGCCCGTGAATGGATATCTCGCTGAAACCGTCTTGGGCTTCAATGTCTTCTCGAGCCAGCTCTGTTGTTCGGCAACCTGCTCGGCCACGGCCTGGGAGCGTCGTTGGACAGACTCATGGTGAGCCTGGTCTCGCGATGAGACCTTGCTGACGGTCATCTTGATGAAGAATGAAAAGAGGTTGTGATGGCGAGATGTGCTCAATCAGCCGGGCATTGTGGCTATTTCTACCCCGGAAGCGCATCCCACGGGGAAGCCCCGGCCTTCTCCAACTTTCGGGCTGCCGTGTCAAATGCCAGGCGTTTGCCCCGATCTCCTCCGCAATTCATGTCCCTGTGACCTCACGCGATTTTCGTAAACATTAAGCTCGCCAATGGTTGTTGTGGGCTGCGAAAACCATACGACGGCCGACCAATCATCGTGTAGGTAGGGTTTGTATGGGCCCAGGTTGCATCCGGATCCGTGCCCACTCGGTTCCGGCGGCTGTCTCTCCTCAAGTCCATCCACCGGCACCGTCCTGCATGTCCTGCATCTCACGGAACCGAGAGCCCTGGCCTATTAAACGCCCAGCCATTTCGCAATTGCATTCTGGCTTCCCAAAATACATCTTCACATCATGACTGTTCCGGCATACGATCAGGTTTGTTCTTGACAACGTTTGTCTATGACTCGTCAGTCGCTGACCGACCAGGCTGTAAATGACGCCTTCGTGCTCTACCCTGGTGGAAAGTTTGGCTATGAAAAACGCGACGTACCTACTCTACAGTCTCAACGCGATGTCCTTGTTCGAGTCATAGCGACCGGACTCTGTGGGTCAGATGTGAGTAGCCGATTGCCTGATCTTGACCTCGCTAATCCTTGGCCAGGTACACTACTGGCAGCATGGCCGAATCGGACGGTACGTGGTTGAGAAACCTATCGTTCTTGGCCACGAGTCATCCGGAATTGTGGTGGAATGTGGCATCCAGTCAGGTTTATCGGTAGGCGACCGCGTTGCCCTTGAGCCTGGTATCGCATGCAACTCGTGCTCCTTTTGCCGTGCCGGTCGGTACAACCTCTGCCGAGATATGCGGTTTGCAGCAACCCCGCCGTACGATGGAACGCTTGCAACATACTATCGGGTTCCCGCGGAGTGCTGCTATAAGCTGCCGCCACATGTCTCGCTACGGGATGGCGCCTTGATTGAACCCCTCAGTGTTGCCGTGCACAGTTCCCGGCTGGCGGGCGACATGCAGGAGAAGTCAGTGATCGTCTTCGGGGCCGGCCCGGTTGGCCTACTCTGTGCTGGAGTCGCCCGCGCCTTTGGAGCATCGACGGTAGTCGTCGTAGACGTCGTCGAAAGCCGTCTCCAGTCTGCTTTCAAGTACGGTGCCACCCACACTCACCGTACCACATCAGATTCAGTTGAGGAAAACGCGTTGGAGATCCTCAACGCTGCCGGTTTGGAACTCGGGGCCGATATTGTCATGGATGCTACCGGAGCCGAGCCATGCATGAACACTGGTATTCATGCCTTGGGGCCTGGAGGGACATTTGTGCAGGTTGGCCTCGGGCGACCGAATCCATCTCTCCCGGTAGGTCAGATCTGCGACAAGGAAATCGTCTTCAAAGGCAGTTTCCGATATGGTCCGCGGGATTACCAGACGGCGATAGGGCTCGTCAACTCGCGCCGCATTCGCTTGGAAGGTCTGGTCAGCCATGAGTTTTCCTTCTCGCAGGCGGAGGATGCATTCCAGAATGTCGCCAGTCGAGCGGGAATCAAGAGCGTCATTTATGGACCTGGAGTGGATGAGGAAATGGCCAAAGCCACATTATCATAGACGAATTTATTTGACGGTTGAAGGAGATTACCTTCGTCTGACGTGGAACGAAGAGCCCAGTCGTAGTGCGAGCATTTGCTCACCCATTCTTCAAACACCTCCTCCATTCCACGACATGTCCCAAAGCCAGTACAGTCCTTGCTCGCCATCAGTGTCCGCAGGCGGCTCGAACGTTTCGTTGCTCCGGATATTGGCAGAGTCCCACTCAGACTGTCCAGAAGGCGGCCAAACATGACCGCGTCCAATTGGCTCCTGTGTTGCGATGTCAGATTGGTGGTTGTCTCCGCCAGTGTACCATTCAGAAGCGCGACCGTCATTTCCCGAAGGTACGACTACAATAGAAAGAATTATTAGCAATTCTAGTTCCGTATCAGGGCAAAGAGCGAATATATTACCGTATTGTACGGACGTCAAGCTTTCATTCAGACGAATAGCACTAGCAAGGTCGGGCCACGCTTGACGACGTGCTGGCGTATGGGTGGTTTCGAGTGTCGCGTCGAGTGGTAGCCGAAGCGTATCCTCAACCGACATATGCCCAGAGCCTGAGAGAGCGTGCTGACGATTATCCTGAGCGTGCTCCGTGATTGGAGCAAGTATAGCGTCTGACTCGCGTCTAAGCAGCAACGTGACCACATTTTTCAGTATTGTCGTGCTTTGTTTGGACAGTGCCGAGCGCTTGCCCAGTAGACCCTGCAATCGCAGGATGCGAGTAATCGTACGTTTGACAACCTGCGCGGTGTCGGACAGCGGATCACTTAGGGCCATGACCGCCAAGACCACGGCCGCATTGAATAGATTGATCGCGAGGAAGGCAACCAGATGACTGTCGGTGGCAAGTTGGGCCAGTAAGGGCAGCTCAGTCACCCGCGATGTTCTCAAAGCAGCGTTCCACCAGTGCACCGAGCTTGCTACTGATGACCCTGGAGATAGGGCCTCGAATGGTGAGTCATGTTGAGATTGCGAGAGGGAGTGCGATTGGCCGTGGCCTGAATCCCCTTCACCTCGTCCAGCAGACGTAGCATGGTTCGTCGATAGGTTTTCCACTTGCCGTGCTAGTAATGGGCGATGGAGGACGATCAAAATGTTGTCGTACGTCAACTGGAGCGACAAAGACTGGAGCGCATGTGCTTTGGCTGGTGGTCCGCTGTCGGAATGAAAATCCTCGTCGAGGTTCAGAGCCAAGTGGTCCGGCAGCTCGTTGCGCCATCTGTGAAGTTTCTTAGTCGCTTCTTTCACCAGCAGATGGTATGCGTCTCCCGTCAGGTCCTTGGATGATCCGGATGTTCGCGAACCAAATATAACCTCAAGAGCGGTTGAAGCCATTAGATATAGACGATTCAACTCTCGTTGATAGGCGGAATAGCATATGGTATTGCCTTGGTCAGCCTGGGGGTAAACAAAGTAGGGATTCTCCGAGGTATCTGCCGGGCTGCTAATATTGCAGTCCCTGTCATTGATTCCTAGTGGCCGGCCGTACGTGATTGATGCAAATCGGTCCCAGGTATATATCGTCCACCAGACTCGTTTTCTCTCCTCATTTTCCTCAAAGCTTCCGCGGGTTGGTTCCCGGTGCAGCCCCACAGCTTGTGAAATTCTGATGGTTGCGCCGAGAAGTGAGAACGAGAGGTTGGGCCGGCCGTGATAAACGCAATATGAACCGAAGAGTATTAAGGTCTGAGCTGCGCTGACGGACGGCTGGTCCATTAACTCGATGAGATGTGACTCGACCAATTTCAAGAGTTCATTGCTCATGAGGCGCCAGTCATTATTATCAGTCAGGTTACAAGGCTCCTTTTGCGAACGGTACCACGAGCCCATGCCCAAGACCACCGCCACTAAGACCAAAAATGGCTTTTGTGAGGAGTAAGCAAATCCATCGGCGACGGAGTTGAGGTTCTTGCGAAAGGTGGGTTCGAAGATCACAAGGGAGAACCAATGGACGGCATCAAAGTAGTCCTCGAGTAACAGATAGATGGTTTCTGTCGGAGGCAGTGGCTGACCCAGTAATGAAGCAATCGGAAATCGCTGGCCATTGGCGGCCGACCGCCGATTGACAACATTGGTGCTGGCTTGGTATCCGGGGATGGCGGAGGTCGCGTGTTCATCGATCAGTTGCCGATCCAGTCCAACGATCTTTTGCGCAATTCCCATGGTCGACTCTGCTTCTCCGTAGTCCAGCTGGTGAGACGCATCATGACTGTCAATATTCCCATGAGGCTCGGCGTGTGGGGCCGGCGTTCGGGGCTCGTTGTTAGCGGTCACTGCTCGAGAGGCTGTCGGTCTTCTCGCGACAGGTTTGGAACTAATCGCTGTTAGCCTCATCTGACAATTGATGGCGTACAGGTTCCTTACATGCGGGTAGAGTCTCTCCGAGAATGGGTGAGCGGAAGCGGCCTACAACTCACTTGGGCTCTCACGCAGAGGGAGCAAGGCCGGAATGGATCACACTCGAGACGGTCAGAAGGATTCGGAAGAGGTCAAGTGGGCCGTACCCTAGTCTTGTGGCGACGACATCTCTCACAAGCACTGCTCACTCGCGTTGGCAACGGCGAGCGCATGTAGTTCACGTCGGCTGCATTGTCGGTCATGGTTTGGAGCAGATGAGAGAGCGCCGGAGAAGCAGGATCCGCCGGAACCTTTTGAGAACGGAAACTGGGGAAGCACGTGCGTAGTCACGTGACTAGTACCCGCTTTGGACAGCCGTGCTGACTTAGCGTCGGAACTCGGTGAACCTCTCCGAGCGTGGTACCCCTGACTTAGCCGCTTGTGTGGCGGAAGCGGCGGAATCGGCGGAGTTTGCCGCCCTGGGTGCCTCAAAGCCAGAGAGACAAAAGACAACAGTTCGAAATACCTACACACAAGCTGATTACTTCTACTATTAAAGTACGCCCAAAGGAAGAAAATCAAAGACAGCCAAATTGCCCTTTGCAGCGACTTCATCCCTCTCATCAAGAGCTCAACTAGTTTGCCAGTTTTCTGCTCGCTGTAATTTACCTGCGATATATATTTCCCTAAGTGTGAAGCATTCCAGATGCCTTTGTTCTCACATACTATCTAAGCGGCATACTACAAAGCCACGACACTCATTTATCGAGTGGAAAACTCCCAATCACTGCCTAAGACAGTTCCTGATTTGAGTACTTTTCGTACAACTCGGGATACCATTTCTGTCCGACGTCCGGATGACTGAGGATCCTGTTCCGCAGATATGCCTCACCGAACTATACCAACCGAGTCAGCGCTATCAAACCCGAAGCCGATTCAACTCACGCAAGAATACAAAGGCGAGAGAAACTCGCTCGGAACATCGACAGCGCGCTTCTTCCTGTCATCCGACACTGGAATGCGGGCAACAATATGAGCGGCGGATTCTCGGAGTTGCTCCGTTGTGAGATCCATCCGAACGCCAAGAAAGAACGGGATGCTATACCGGGTTTTCGTCGTAGGGGCCCGTCGAGCTCATCAGTTACTGGTCCTCAGCGGAGGATGGAACTTACAATAACTCGATGGGTTGTCGCGGCGCAGATCCCACCGGTGATAGCTTCAAGGCCTTGCTGGATGTTGACGACAAGACTTCCCTCGATGGGTGGCGCATCAATCCACTCGCCGTTCTTATTCAAGACCTGCAGCCCACCAGTATCGTCCTGCGAGAGGAAAGTAAATAATCCGGACGAATCCTTGTGTGGGCCGACGCCTTGGGAGTTTGGCGGCGACTTGGGATATTTGATGAACTTCAGCCTGTCCATATTTCCCTTGAAGGCGGCGAAAGTGTCGAGTGGAAGCGAGAGACATTCAGAAACAAATTTCATAAACTCTTGCGAGAGTTGAGCGGATCGGGAAATGTAGGATTCCACAAGTTCTTTCGCACCAGGGACATCTGGATACTGTACATCGAAGGCCGGTCAAATAAGATCTCGTTGATTATAGAAAGCTCGTTAAGTCGCTCGTACCTGGCTATTTCCCTCGAGTCGCCACCAGATGTCCTGATCTTCGGTCCAAGTGTTCATCCCGGGCGTTCCAAAATCGTATTGCTGCTGAGATTTAGTCGCTTTGCTCATGATTTTGTAGTCCATCGGTATACCTCTCTCAAGTCCGTCTTCTTCGCCGTTGTCTCCGCACCAAGCCGCGTGTATCCGACAAAAGACGGGGAATTGATCATATCGCATTTCGCCTTGACTTCATCCGGGAGATCAAAGAGCTCTGGGAGCTTTGCGTGAGCCTGGGTTATGAGATCCTAAAACTGTTAGAGGTCCAGAACTCCAATGGAGAAGTTGGGTACGCCTACTTCCAGTCCATGGTTCGTCAGGTAGAGAAAGCCGACGACAAAAATCGCGTCGCGAAGATCGTTCAGAGCAGCGCTTTTCGTACTTGGGTCTTGTAACCGACGCCAGTCAATTATAGGTATGGAAGAGAATGTATCCGACATTGTTGATAATAGGAGTTGAGAAAGAGGAAGAGGTTCGGCGAGGAGAGAAGGATCTGGGTGACGTGATCTCGTGACCCCGCATTTCCAGTTGCAGGTCTCCGCAGAGTAGCAGAAGCATGAAACTAATCCATCATCTGCCTAACATGAAAGTATGAAAGCCTCAGTTGGCGGATTCAGCCCATGTCTCAGAGGCCAGCCGCACGCAACAGGAACTGGACGCGCGAAAGGCGATGGAAGTCAGACGGCGACTATCGCTGTGATGAAGTGGTTGGTCGGAACATGTAAAAAACTTGAATATGATATTATTCTCGGTTCTGGTATGGGACTCATGAAGTGTGGTAGGTGATGAGCCATCATTATGGGGAGGGCGAGGTGCTGTGTTACTGCGAGACCGTCTCCTCGTGCACTTGCCTTCTTCATCTCGGCTCACTTTTCGACCTACTTTCCCCTCACACTCTTCTCTCCTCGCTTTACCTTAATCTCCTCCACCGCACCATGGACAAAGAATCGACTATTCAGCTGGCCTTCTCGGCCCTGGAGGGATGCGTTAATGTCATCCATGCGGCGTTCGTTCACCGCAAGGTAGTTGAAGATGACAAGCTGCAGCAACTAATCAACGACATTCGGTGAGTTTCATCGTCTCTCTAAGTCCCAATCTGACTTGGCCAGCGGCCTTGCGTCTGTTGTATGCTCCACTGCACCACTCTGGCAACTTAACTTGGACACCCCGACCTCCCCCGGGATTGAAGCCGTCCTGCAGTGGCTACCGCCTCTATACCGTCAATTATCGGCCACGCTGAAGCTGTTGGAGAAAATGCTTCCCCTCCCGATCGAGCACGTACTAGACGGATATGGAATGGGCGCGAACGTATTGAATTGGGAGTTTATCGCGTGGAAGGTGAACAACTACGAGGCAGCCGTACGAGTGGTGTTGGGTGTGATGAAGAGGTAAGATGCTCATGCCGACGAGGCATAGTGGCTAACAATGACTGCTTTCCAGCAACTACGAATGGAAAGAAATCAACCTCGAAAAACTCAAAGAGCAGGCTAGACGGTACGAGAGTGCGATGGACGGCCTGGATAAAAGAGCGGAAACAGGCGATTTGTTGTTGCAGGAGCTGGTGAAAATACCTTATCACCTGGAGGTTCTTGAACGACTTCAGAAAGCTGCTAAGCTGTACACTGTTTCCGTGAAAGACTCGGGCGCTGAGATTGCTCATTGCTCCGTAGGAATCGGGAAACTGATGGCGAGAAACTACTACGCGGCCGATAGAAGCCAGGCAGACATAATCACTGAGACACCGAGTCAAGGGACGAGTGGACCCCAGCAAGAGAGCGAGGGCTTGCGGAGTGCCCGAATTGAACCGGCTTGCAACGCCCACGTCCGGCAGAATGAGGCAATGCAGCAAGGGACGCCGGACGTTGGCAGTGCGTCCAAGCAAGTGCCAACCACAGACTCTGAGAAAACTAGGACACAGCCTTCTCACGAAAGACCCCGAACACTTCAACAAGCGCACGAAGACACATTCGTCGACCAAAGAACGCTCATGAAGAAGAGAAGCCTCGAGATCCATCATCGATGGCTTGAACAAGAAGACCAAGTGTACGCTGCCAAACGCGAAGCAATACAACAGAAGCTGGAGGAATCAGGTTCGTCGCCGGCAAAGCGCAACCCCAATAGTAGCGGCTTGACCGCATCTCTGTATGCCCCAAAAGACGTCGTGTCCGAGCAACCAACACAGGACGCACCTGTGCTCTCTATGGGTTCGTCTAGAGAAACATCCACAGACTATCAACAGAGAGACAGCCTCAAAGCCGTCGACTTTGCGGAAAAGGTTGTGGATCCACCAAAGACGCAAGAAACGCAGGGTTCGGAAAGTCCTGAGAAGAATGAAGCTATTGCGATTAGTATGGCTTTTGAGCGTTCTCAAAGTTCCTCGCGATGCACAAGTTCTGTTGAATTCGAAACACCGATCAAAGCCGACTCAGAAGAGTCTTTGTATCGTCTGAGCCCATCGAAACAGCAGAGCCTCGTGCTACGGCGGACGATTGAGAAGAAGATCGCGAATGCCAATGCTTCAACAGCTGCTCCGCCATCGCCACTGTTACCAAGTCCTGCAAGGAGCGAACAGGGCGTGGAAGACGAGGAAAAAGAGGCATTATCCCTGATGAGTGAGCACGAGCAGGTCGCCCGCGTCTTGCGGTTGTTAAAGGAGCCAAACCTTTCCCACGCAGCGAAGACTCTGGGCAGGATCATCTCTCTTAGAAGGCTCAGCCTTACGTCCAGGCTTGTACTCGCCGAGGGCTTTTACAAAGCTGCGTGTTATGATCGAGTAATACCGTTGCTCCAGGTACCCTTGACCGTGCTTCAGGATGCCCCGCTTGCTGCAGCTCGCATTGACCATCTCCTGGCAAAAACACACTTCAGTCTGGGTGCATTCACCCCTGCCATCAACTGTTGCAAGGTTAGCATGGACAGAAAGAAGAAGCAGTTAGGCAGCAAGCACCCTTCTTTTCTCGAATCAGTGGAGTTGTTGGCCCAGCTGTTGCGAGCAACTGAGAATCCGAGCGAGGCAGAAGCTCTGCGACGTCAGCACTTCACACCCGAGCAGTGCAACTTCCTTCGGCACATTGACGACCTGGAAGCTGCTTTCAACTGGAGGAAACAAGAGTCGCGCGATCCCAAGTACAAGCTGATGTTGATGTCTTTTGTCGCACCCGCGAAAACCAGCGTTCTTGATCAACTCGGTTTGTGTGAAGAATGGGGGTTCCATACCACTGTGCTGGGATTTCATTCCGGCACAAGCCTGCTCAGCCTGCTCAGGAGTGCGGGCGAGAGCGACAAACTGATGTTGCTATTTCTAAGGGGAAATGTTACAGTCGGTCTTCCATCTGGACAGACGCGCCAAACCCTCGATACACTTCTGCAGCGTGCTGTTTCCGCGAATCAAGCTGAGCGGGTGGAGAACCTGCTTGACGCCGGTGCAGACATTGAAACTGAAAGCGACGCAATGACTTCCCTCCACTCGGCCGCAAAGTCGGGCTACTCTGATATTGTGAACCTTCTCGTTGATCGGGGCGCGAACATTGATGCTAGAACAGGGGATGATCAATCAGCGTTGGCGCTCGCAGAAGCCAACGGACATCGAAAGATCGTGGAATACCTTGCCATCAAAGGGGCTAAGAAGTAATGCGGAACCCGCACTCTCGGTGGAGATCCAAGTGTCTGAGTATACTCTTATGTCAATTAGCTGACTCCTCGGGGTGTTACCCTCTTGTTAGGAATGATATGCTCGTATGTTTATGACGATCTCCCCCAGACTCATTTGCACCGTAGCGACCTTCCATCTGAGACACCAACCGACGCTTCATGTACATCCTCAGCGCATCCCGTGGTATCTCTATTCGGATACACAATCCGAGCACCCCCAGTATCCCACATCGGGCACTCAGCATGATACTTGGCGTCCCTACCACCTGACGACTGGATGTGTTGAGATAGCAGCGACCCGGGGGATAAGGTTAAAGTCATAGTCCTGCAAGGCAGCACCGCACCAATCCGTGCACAAAGATGGTCCAGGCCCAAGATTTGGGTGCGGAGTCCAATGGAATTATCGGTTGTCCCCGGTTGGCAAATTCATCTCAGCTGGAGCGCGGAGAAGGATCTTATCTCCGATCAGCTACACGTGGGTCTCCCCGTTCACCCTTGTTTACGAAGATGAAGTAATAATCAGGGGGTTCGAAGCAAGACACCTTGCTTCGACCCTCTCCTTGGAAGGGATGCATCTGACAAATCAACGCTGGACAAGCCGTGCCTGTCCGCATACAAGGTCCTTGATCACTGCTTGGCAAAATCGCGAGACGAAGCGCTATTGTACGGTCAGAGGATCGAACGGATGAGTCTTACACAGCCCAGTTCGGATCCCGTCCTTATTGGCTAACGCTGACGCTGCATTAGGTATCATGGCAGCCTGGCAGGATGATGATGCGTGGTGTGGATGGACCCGCCAAGCATTTGGATCCTTCGTGCAAGATGCGAAACAATAAGACAGCGCAGCACGGACTCGGACTCGGACTCGGACACGGACACGAACTCGATCGCGTACGAGTTGCACCATTGTCCCATCGACCGTAGCTCCAAGGCGCAAGCACAAGCATAGAAATCAGAAGCGATGTGGTGAAATATGACGCACACCGGCAATGCTAGAAAAAGCCAACGATACGAGGGCTGACGGCCCCAGATCATCGCTGCCCGGGCGTTTCAAGTTTCGACCATTCCATAGGCCGGCCCGTAAGGCGTGCTGAAAATAGACCCGTCACAGAAGGCTTGGCCGGGTAAGCACTACGGCAAGCATTGACAGCACAGCCCTGTTGGAGACTGGAGGCATTGTGGAGGCTCAGCTCAGCTAGCTAGGGCTAGCCGTTCCCGTGCTAGGGACCACCCTAAAAGATACGAGACGCCCAATCACCACACCGGACGCATGAGCTTATCCTCCTAGCGCTGCGAAATGAGGATACCTGATTCTGGAGGCTAGGTAGCTTTATTTTATTGCTGGAAGGATGTGCACTGCCAAGAGGCTGACTCTGAGCTTGCGAAGGGAGACGTTATAAAGGGTTTGTTTCCCGGTGTCTGCATCATCATTGTCAACAACAACACCTTCAAAAACAAACGGGCAGAGCAGAGCATCCACAGATCAAGTCCCTACCGCCTCGACTCCCTCTTCTGGCCACGCCCTCAACCTTTTTTTCTTCGATACCAAAAAACACCCGCCAAAATGATGGAAACCATGCCAACAAACCAAACCCTCCTCGATGACCCCTCCCTCTGCACAATCGACACATGCCCGCTGTCCATGGCCTCAGTCGAGTACCTCCCAAAGCTCTGGGCGCAAATCCTCTTCATCGCGATCTTCGGCCTCGGTCTCCTCCTGCATCTCTTCCTGGGCATCCGGTACAAAACGTGGACGTTCATGATCGCCATGGCGTTAGGGCTCATTGGGGAGATAGTGGGCTATGGAGGACGAGTTGGCTTGAACCAGGATCCGTTTAACGGCGACTACTTCCTGCAGTACCTTGTTGCGCTCACCATTGCGCCGGCGTTCCTGACGGCTGCGATTTATCTCACCTTGTCGCGCATTGTCGTTGCATTTGGAGAGCGCATCTCGTATTTTAAGCCGAGGACTTATACAATTACGTTTATCACATTTGACGTCCTGGCGCTCTTGCTTCAGGCTATCGGCGGGTGAGTGCCCCAACAGATTTACCGAATGCCTGAAGAGCCTATGCTGACGTCTCTCTTAATTCAGAGGTATAGCTGCATCCGCGGACGACGATGACAAAGATGCCACGGACCTCGGCGTGAACATCATGATTGCTGGTCTGGCATGGCAAGTCGCAAGTCTGCTTATCTTTACCGCCATGTCAACGCACTTCTTCCTCCGCGTTCGCAAAGCCCCAGGATCGGACTTCAACCTGGACTTTGAGAGACTCCGCAACAGCCGCTATTTCAAGGGGAGTCTCTGGGGTCTCTCGATCGCAACACTGGTCATTATCGTCCGGTCCATCTTTCGCTGTGCCGAGTTGTCTGAAGGTACGCGTCCAGTCCCTCTATGTATAACAACACTGTTTAACCGTGCCTTTTTAATGCAGGTTTCGACGGCGACCTCGCGAACGATGAGGTGACGTACATGCTTCTGGAAGCAACGATGATTGCAATCGCCGTCATTCTTCTGACGGTCTTCCACCCCGGCACGGTCTGGAAGGGCCAGTGGAACCAGGCAGTTTGGAACACGCGGTCCAAGGGTGGAATGTCGAGGATCATGCCCGTGGTCACGTGACTCGGGCGCTTGGCGCACCCAAACACCTTCATGTTTTTGTAGCCTCCTAGATAGCTTCAGTTAGTTAAGTTAATATAATTATTTATAACTTATATTATTCCTTTCCTTAGGTTATAAGCCCTTGCTTTGCCTAGGTTTTATTACTTTTTTTTTTTATTTATAAATACATAAATTATAACTACTAGGCCAGCCCTAGTAACCGCATTATTTTACGTGAAAAAATTTTTACCTACCTTTGCCTTTAAGTTTAATGCTTTAAGTGTTAACACTATAATAAAAGGCTTTTTTACTATTACTAACAAGGCAAAAATTACTAACTTAATTATTAAGCTTAATAAAAAAAACTATTCCTAGTAAATAAAATTACTAGAGATTAGACTGCAAGACTTTAACTTTTTTTTTTAATAAGTTTTTTAAGGTAATTACCCAATGCCTGCAAAACTAAACCTTTATAACTTATAAAATAATAAATTTATTATAAAAACCTATTATAAAAAGGTAAAACTTAATAATAATATTAATATTTTTATAATAAAAATTAAACACTTGCGCGAGAAAATTATTATATATAATAAAAAATTAAAAAATGCTTATAATAAAAAGATAAAAAAATATAATAAAAAAAGGTTTATAATACTTATAATTTTTTAAAATACTTGCACTTTATTTATTCAGGCAAACCTTTATATTATACGCAATTTAAAAAAGGCTTTTAACTTATTTAAGGCCCTTTACAAGCCTTACAGCCACGCAGTAGCTTATAATACTTAAAATAAGCTTTTTATAATAAAGCTTATAAATATATAAAATAGAATTATTTAGTTAAATAAATAAAAAAATATTATTACTAAACTAAGGCATTAAAAACTTAAGTTACCCCTTTAAATAAAGGTTTATTTTTTTTTTACCATAATTTAAAATATAGAGTCTTATAAAGCTTAGATTACTTAGCTAAAAATATTTTATAATTTAATAGTTTATAAAATAAAAAAAATATATATTTTTTTCTTGCAGTACACGCAGTGCCACTAAATAAAAAAAAAGTTACTTAAAGTAACTTTTAACACGCTATTTATAAATATAATAAATAAAAAAAATAAAAATAAGGATAAAAAAAAGTTAACTATTAACAAGATTTTTAAAAATAATTTACTTATAAAAAATATTAACTTTATTTAGTATTATTATCACGGCGCCCTGGGTAATTACTTTTTTTTTAAGTATTAATTAATAAAGTAAACTAGTTCTTATGGCTTACAAGTATTTTATACTCCTAGCCTTTATAAATAAGGCTATAAAGGCTATTATAACTATAATTTTTTTAGCGTATTTAAAGGCCGCGGCTAAGGGGGGTATAATAAATATAATAAATATAATTTATATAAATATAACAACTCCTAGAATCCCTTTAAAGCTTATTATACTAGTTAATAACTATATAATAGTTAAGCTAATAAGGTTTAAAGTAACGTGTATAATTAGCACCTTTACTAATAGTAATAATAATAATAATAGGGCGTTTTTTAGCAACGCTAGCTACTATTAGTAAATAATAATTTATTATTTTTTTTTAATTATATTAATATAAAATATTATGTAGCGGCCTATAATAATATAATAAAAAAAAATTTTTATTTTTAAATACTTAACTTAGGATTATTATATTATATAATTTCTTTTTGCTATAATTTTATATTTTTTATAACCTATATTATTAAGGTAAAGACCGCTACAAGCACGCCTTTTTTTATTAAAAAATATAGTAATATTATAATTAATCTTACACTTTTAAACTTAATAATATATATTAAAACTCTTATTTTAAAAAATATTTAGCTAGCGCCTGCGCTAGCTTATAATCTTATTTTAATATACTAGCTTGCTAAAGCAGGCGCGCAAATACTTTTAAATAAAAATAATAAATTTTTTTTATAAAATAGTAAGGCTAAAGGGTATGCTATAATTTTAAATAATTATTATTATTTTTATATAACTAGTTAATTTTTTATAAAGCTTATTAATACGCTAGAGGTTAATAGCTTGCTTACTACTATAGTAAAGCTATTTTTTAATACTAATTTTAAAGCAAATTTAAAGCTAATTTTTATTAAATTAATATATTATTACTTGGCCCACGCGAGCGAGCAAAAAATACACTAAACTACTTAAAATATTAAAGGCCTAAAGCTTAAAAAGGGCGGCCTTAAGTATTTTTATAAGCCATGCCTAATAAGTAAAAAATATTATCTCTTACTAGGAAACCACCGCAAGATTTATATAAAACCTAAAGATCTTATTTATTTTAATATTTACGGACTAATCTTTATACACGGATATAATAAAAAACACTATTTTATAATATTTATAAATAATATAACCTATTTTTACTAGGTGTTCCTACTTTATAATAAAAATAAATTACTAAAGAAGTATATTTTTTTAAAAAACTATCTTAAAACCTAGTATAATATTAATATAAAACATGTTTATAGTAATAACACTAAAAAGCATGTTATGCTTGCTAAATATTTTTAAAATAAAGGTAAAATATAAGACCTAGCGCCTGTATATAATCCTTAGCTTAATAATATTTTTAAAATTAAAAATTATTATTTTATAAAGCCGCTTATAATAGTTATAATAATATATTAAACTCCTAAATATTTTTAGGGGCACCTTATTTTTATAATTATGTTTTTTTAAAATTATATTTTTAATAATTATATAAAAATATTACCTTATAAAGCTCTTACTAGTAAATAACTTAATATTTTAAAGTGGCGCGCTTTAGGTTGCAAATACTAATATTTTATTTTTAAAAAAAAGTATTAAATAAAACTAGATTTTTATATGGCTAAAGGCCGCTTTATTAGTTATTTAAACTTTTTTTATAAAGTTTATAATATTAAAATAAAAAAGATTAAGTACATGCGCGATGTTATCTTTAAAAAGATTAATAATACTAAGTTACCTTAAGTAACTATTTTATATAATCTTAACGCCTTAATATATTAGCATAAATAAATTAGCGGCATTAAAAAGGCTAAATATACACCTATAAAGTTTTTATAACTATATAATTATTTAAATAAATTATAGCCTTAGTTAGCTTTATTTACGCCTTAAATTTTTATATAAATACTTACTAAAACACTTATAAAGGCTCCGCCTGCAGTTTAGGAAAGTACTTATAACTTTAAAAAGGAAATCCCTGCTTAAATAAAAAAGTATAAAGCAATAAGTATTTTACTTTTAATTACTACTAAAAATAATCTTAATAATACTTGCTATTTTCTAAATTTTTAATATTTACCTTTTCCTATAGTAAAGGACGTCCCTAATAAAGAAGATATATATAATCTAACTTTTATTAAATATAAGTATTGTACTATAGCCAAGATTTATAGTTTTAAGTTTTTTAAATACTTTACATGTATTATAAAGCTATTTTAGCGTCTTAAAAAAGCACTAAATATAAATAGTATTTAGTTTTTTAGTATTAATCCTAAAATAAAAAATAAATTCCTTGCTTTTCTTACTACAGCGCCCCTAGTAGTTATTAATAAAATTATATAGTAAATTTAATACTAAATTAACACTTTAATTATTACCGCCACATCTAAATTTTTTAATAAAGCTATGCTATCTAAAAATCCTAATTTATTTAAGTTTAAACCTTAAATATACAAAAAGGTACTTAATTATAAAAATACAGAACTCTAGCGCGAGGCGTGTTATAAAAAAATATGCTTATTATTTTAAAATAGCACCTAGCGCGTTATTAATAAAAAAAAGAATATAAAGCTATTATTAACTTACTAGGTTTTTAAACTTAAGTATAATAGTACTTATAAAGCACGCCTAGTTATAAAAGGCTTTAAGTAATATTATAATAAGAATTTTTACAAGGTATACACCGCAGTAGTAAAACTTATATTTTTTAAGGTATTTATTATGCTTATAGTGCTTTTTAATTAGTAATTATATTTTTAAAATATTATTACCACATTTCTTTATACAAAACTTAAAAAAATAATTTATATTAACCTTTTTAATAGCTACAAGCAAGCTGGCAAATATAGCCTCTTGTTAAAAATAATATATAGCCTTAAGTAGTTACCTAAAAAATAATATATTTTTTTTTAGAACTTTTATCTTTCTAGGATTTAAATACCTGCATGTAAATTATTTAATATTTATTAAAAATAGCCTATACGTCCTTGTATACATTAATAATATTTTTATATTTTTTTAAAATAACACTTAGTATAAAGCTTTTAAGCAGGAGTTCTTAAAACTTTTTAAAGTAATAAATAATAGCCAAGTTAAAAATTACTTAGGTGTTAATATTTTATTTAGTATAAATAAAAATAAGATATTTTTGTTATAATACTTTTATATTTTTAAGATTTTTAAGTGCTTTAGCTTAAAGAACTGCAAGCCTTTTCCCATGTTATTTTATAAAAAAAAGGTTCTTAAAAATTATAATAACCAGGCCTTTATAAATAATATAACACTTTACTAAGCTATAATAAAATACCTAATCTAGCTTATAATTTATACGCGCCCTAATATTACCTATATAATTTTTAAAGTTATAAAATACACGCGTAATCCAGGTTAAAAACACTTAATTATTATTAAGCGTGTATATTACTATTTATATATTACTTTTTTTTTACTTTATACTATTTATTTAATAAAGGTGGCCTATAAGGCTATACTAACGCTAACTAGGCCAGCCCTTATTTAATAAAGGAAACCTTAATATTTAAATATATTTTTAAACTTATTAGTGGTTTAATTTTTTAGGTATTAAAATATTAGCTTAGTATAGTGCTTTTTTTTATTAAATTAAAGTATATCGCGCAGGCGCTTGCAACTTAAAAACTTATTTAAATTTAACTACTTTTTACTAAGCTAAATATTAAACACCTAAACCTTACGCGTGTGTGTTTTTCTAGGCCTATAACTATTTATGCTAATAACTAAAAAGTAATTATTATGTTTAAAAACCCTAAATACTATGCCTGCTTAAAGTATATTAATATTTATTATTATTTTTTTCACTAGGAAGTATTAAATAAAAATATTAAATTTTTATATATACTAATAATAAAGCAGGCTGCTAATAAACTTATAAAGTTACTTAAAAAAGTAGCCTATTAACATTTTATTTAAATAATTAGTATAAAACACCTTACTACACCATAAATTAACTTTATACTACCGCTTTAAAAAATTAAGATAGTCTTATTTATTTACTACCCTGGGCAAGGGGGGTGTTAAAAATCATGCCCGTGGTTACGTGACTTAGGCGCTTAGCGCACCTAAACACCTTTATGTTTTTGTAGCCTCCTAGATAGCTTTAGTCAGTCAAGTCAATACAATTGTTCATGGCTCACATCATTCCTTTCCTCATGGAAAGGGCCCGAGATATGGCAAGACGGCGAGTGTCGATAGTGAGATTTCGCTTAATGGGGTGCGTGCGCCGCAGGGGGAGATGCATACCGTTTATCCGGATACGAGGTATCAGGCTTATAACTCTTAGAGGTTGGGGAGAATACTGGAAACAGAAGCGAGCAGGAGGGTTGAATGGATGAGATAGATTGTGGTCATTATCTGCTATTGCTCGGAAGTCTAGCGTTTTGTTTCGCCTATTGGCCTTTTGTTATACCGTTTCCTTTCCTTTTTCTGTGTCAGAGATATCCGGATACACTGTTTCCACGTTGGAGTTGTTACCACGCCGTAAAGAAAAGAACTACATCCCAGCTATCCCATCCCTGAAATAATCGTAACTCGAAGACGGGAAGCCCAAGAACGGCCAAATCCGTTGGATCGGCAGCCCTAAGGATCCGAAGGAATCAGCCAGGATTGCAGTGGAGATGCGTAAGCACTCAGCCTCAGCAATCAGCTTGCGACATGTGCAGGGGTCTTTGAGCTAACATCTCCTGTTACGGCTAGAGAGTACCTACCGACCTCGTTCGAATGCCTAGATAGGGTCAATCATTTCCGTGCTTGGTTCCAGGTATGCCCTACATGCCCTTTAGAAGGATTAAGGAGTGCGAATCGTGGCTGGATACTCCGAATCTCCGACCATATTGGCTCGCCCAGCTGCAGCGCTTGGACTCGCGTTGTCCTTGTCGATCGGGCCAGCGAAGAACGGACCGTTGTTACCAGACCGTCAGACTGCGCGTGGCAGGGAAATCTCGTTCTCACGTATGCTGGATGATATCGGGAACATCTTATTGACGCTTTCTGGCTGTCGATGTACCTGACAGTCAGATATCTGCACCTGGATAATGAAAGGCCTATCGAGCTTTGTCCGCCGGCGTGTCGCGCAAACCGTCATTGGCAAGGCGACAAATAGCTGCGTCCATTGAGAGGTTGGGGATCTTTGTACTTGAGTGGTGATCTACCCAAATGTTGACTTGAAGGCCAATAAGCATGACACTTGGAGGGATAGGGCTATAGCAAGCGGATCTTAGAACCCTAATCGATCGCACCGCCAAGTTAGGTATACCTAGCGTGCCTAGGTGGGTTCAGCGGGGGCTGTGCTGCATCTTGAGTCACAGTGGTGCTTAAGTACATAAACATAGGCCATGGAAAGTATGAAAGACGAAAGTAGATCCCACGGTATCTCGAGCAGCAAAAGATCAGGATTATGTTGATACTTCTTACCCTCCCCACTGACCTTTGCTTTTTCATCCTCTGCCACGCCCTTAATGCCCACCCCAATTCACCCCCTTGACTAACCAAAGACCACCGAACCCCCTACAACGACATCCCCTACACCTCCTGGCGGTGTAAAGTCTACCACGAGAACCTTAAAACCCACACCCGCCCAAACTCCCTCGCCCTGCTACTGAGGAACCGGCAAATCAACGCCGAAACCCTCGCCCTGCTGGCCCATCTCCTCGAGGCCAGAAAGATAACTACCACATCGACATCGCCATGCTCAACGAGCTAGAGCTGTACCCAACCTGGCTGTGCATTTCATAGCTTACAGATGCACGCAACAGTCCGCCTCTCCGGCCCCATCATCACGCTCAACGACGCCGCGCACCACAGGCGACGGGGGGCATCTAGGCTTCCGGTGGATTTTCTACGCCCTGCTTTCGCGGTTCCCGGGCTACGGGGCTGTGCCGGAAAAGGACGGGGAGGACGCGGATGGGCGGCATGCACAGAAGTCTGCGTCTCGCATCCGCTCACACCGGTACAGGGACAACCCGCTCTTCCCAACGCGGCGTACCACAATCGACACGCTGACCCTCGACATCCGCGACGCCGAGCGCAGCATGTGGTTCCCCGACGATGAGGTCACGTACGGGGACTGGTGGAGATAGAACCATAACGGGTGGTTGTGGCGGGATGAGAGTCAGATGCCCGAGGCCCTGTCTGCGTATAAGCCGCGGCCCGAGTGGGCTGGGCATCTGGCGCGGGAGATTCGGCTGTTGTTGAGCTGGGACTATCATTCTGCGCCGTATGGGGGGATGCTGGTGCGGAGGATTGGGAGGGGGAGGGTTGTGCTGGGGAGGAACCCTAGGTGGTGAGGGAGTTCAATGTTTGGGGGATTGCGGAGGAGATTGGGGATTGGGGGGTGGGTGGGAGATTCCGACGTGGATGCGGGAGTGACGACGGTAGTGGGTAGGGCTGGCAAGTTGGCCATGCTGAGGACCGGGGTATCTGAGAGATTGGTCGTGCCGGAGTGGAAGAAGCCCAAGATTGTCTGGCCCGGTGGATTGGAAGGCCTGGCGGATGATACCATAGCCTATGAAGAAATTAACCTCCTTGGGAACGTCTACCAGCTGCCGGGCCGCTATCATTCAACCATATATACTATGGTACTCAGGTGAAAGCGAACCCAACTTACAGAAGACCTAGCGTCGATATCCAAATAAGTGTGTATCAGTACCATGCCCATGGACTCGGCACTTGCGCTCTAAACAAGGACCCGGATATCCTCAGTTTAAGCATCCGGTCGACTATCCCTGGAGGTTGTAGGTATTGCGCAGAAACTCCGCATGTCTTCCATGGCATCCATTCTAAAGATTCATGGCGAGCCGCACTGTGTTCTCGTTTCTCTGACAAAGCGGTTCCTGGTCTCGCGCTGGCTGTTGCGCTGAGGAGGTTTCGAACTTGAAGACCTGATAGGTCTGGTGCAAAGTGATGAAACGTTTTTAGGTTCCCTAAACGCAGAGTCTGTCGCTTGACAACATGTTCTGTGAGACCTGGCCTGCAGGACAGCGAGAGTTGTCAACTGAGGCCCCGGGGGATACGACGAGTATGGAGGAAACTTTCGCAGCTTGTCTAGAATCTGTCCTCGAGGCTTGTCTAGGTATGCCTTAGTTAGTTAGGAGTAGCACTCTAGGGGATACAGAACGCCCTTCGTGACGACCTTGAATTATCTATATCCTTTTACTCATTGTCTTAGTTGTGTGCAGACAGTCTGAGATAATATCACTTCTCCATTACCCCATCTTTGCTGGATCTATTGGGCAAGTGAAATTTTGTTTTAAGATGCAGTGAAAGAAACTCTGCAACTCCTGGTTTGCATTCCCAGTGAATGAGACACCTTCTTTACAGATTCTGGTGCCCTGCACACCCACCAGGCATTCACTCAGCCCAAACCCACACAGCTTCAGTGAATAGATGCAATCACCAATATCAACAATTTCCTCTCCTCTTCTTCTAGAAAATTCTTATTCTCATGCCTCCAACCTGCTTGTCTGCAATTTTCCTTTCCCAATCATTGCCTCCATTCAACATCTCTCGAATCGCCAATTTGATTGTACTGTATCAATCAGACCAGCAGCATGTCCACCAACCGCGAATCCTCCCCTGCCGGGATCCCAGACGACATCTTCCCCCTCGATCCAGGAGGCGACATCGTCCTCGACATCCACGGCGTCTCCAAGGTCCTCGTTTCAGCCCTCCATGCACAGGACCTCGAGTCCGGCATCCTCACTTCGCTCCCTTCTCAGCTCGTGAACAATAGCAGTGACAGCGACAGTGGCACTGAAGACGACGGGAAGGGTGTGCTCAGTGTCCTTGTCTCAAGTGACCGTCTCACCGATGCAAGCCCGCACTTTGCAAACATGCTCGGCTCCCTCACAGAGGCCATGGTCAGCAATGACCAAAGTATGAACGAGCACTGGAGAATCCGCATTGACCTCCCTTTGCGTCCTCTGGAGCATGCGATGGACATTAACGACGAGAGCCTGGCATTCTTGTATCTTCTTGTCATACTCCATGGCCAAGGCCGTTTCATTCCGGTCGAGGTTCCCTTGGACATCCTGGTTGCTTTGGCGCTCCTCGTGGACTTCCTCGGGGAGCCGTGCTACCAGGCTGCAAAGGGTGTTGCCGATATCTGGGTGAAGGTGCTGAATGGCGATGTCGACCACGAAGATGTCATGGGTCCTGCAGTGAACATACACGAACGCCTTGCCTGGGTGTTGATCGGGCACGTCTTCAAGCGCGAGGATGTTTTCCGCTTTGCGACAAAGGCCGTCCTTCTTTCCTCCGAAGGGAAAATCGAGTCTATGCTGCCAATCCCGGCTGCTATTCTGGGTATCGCCCTATCCCAACCTGCACTCCTTGCCTGGAGTTATTGCACTCGCTAAGCTAACCAAAACACCGCACCAGAATCCCTCAACGCCAACCGCACCAAAACCCTCACAACCCTCACCCGCCTCCTCACGCACCTCCGCGAACCCATCCTCTCGGGCTGCCGCAACAAAACAGGCCTGATCCCCCTGCAAACCGACCTGGAAGAGAGCTACGTGCATGTCCTGCCAGAGCACGTCTCGCTTGCGGTTGCCGAGGACCTCGACAATCAAGCGTGTGTTAATGCTGTGCTGCGCGCTTATGAAGCCGCGATGGAGTTCCTTGGGATATTGACCACCGTGGGTCTGGACTTTGAGGGGCTGTCGGTGAGGAAGATTGTGAGTGGTGCGTTGAGGATTGATGTCTCTGAGGGCGAGGAGTATCTTGACAATGGGGCGCATGAGAGGTGTTCGGTTAGTTGGAGGGTGAGGGGGGTGCTGGGGGTGTTTGAGATGCCGGCTGGATTGCAGTTGGAGGAGTTTCAGGATTGATTTTCTCGGGATCTATTTCTTATTTAACGAAGCAAAAGCTTGTCTAGCTAGTTCTCTTGGTTCCTGGAGTTGGCGTTCTGATTGATCCATGGATGGATGTTGGATGACTTGGCCTCCTGTCTCTGTATGTGAGGATTCCCTGCATACTATTACGTTGTACAGTAGCATCACTCGGGACAGAGTATGGTAGAGATACGGAGGTTCTCGAAATGTTGCCTTTCCAGGCTGGACGCCAACTCATCTCAATGAACTCCGTTAATGCTGTCATGACTCTACAGTCGACATCTGGACGAACTGTAGTGAGCAACAAGCGCAGGCAATGAAAGCTACACTACGCCCCAACTCCGCTTGGCTTTCTATTGGAATCTATGCTATCACAAGATCGATCTCAGCGCGTTAGCCTTCTATACTGTGGAGAGTAGCGGCTCTACAAGGGGGCGTTGTTCCTAAATCGAGGCACGTGGCTCGACTGGCGCAACGACAACAGCTGCAACGCCAACAACGGACTTTGAAGCATACTTTTATTGAATAAACAATAGGTCTGAAGCGGCGGCCCTAGACTAAAGAGATACGGATGCATGTTTACACGAATGCCTTGATTCTGTGCCTCTCGAGCGCACGGTAGCTTGTTTCTGCGTAGCGATGCCTACGCCAGCTATGGAATAAGATCATGTTGGGTGTGCAAGACCTGGTGAAAGTATTTAGATGCCGTCGAGGAGTTGGTTGCATGACCATCGGATGGTATGACTGGCTTTTGACTTGCACCTGCAAGCTAGGGCAGCGATGACTTAATGGCTACAGTAGGAAGGCACCACCGGATTCCAACAATGTTCTCGGCCTATTCCTATGTACATGGATCTTGATAGCATCCATATTGGACAGAGGCGCATTAAGCTTTCTCCAAGCATACAACTTCATCAAGGGGATTCGGCTTTTGCTCAATCACGTACATCCTCACAAGCCCTGCACTCGGCCAACATCATGCAAGGCTTCCCGTCCAGGATACACTGGGGAGGGGCCGGGGTTATGTTATGGCTCTGGGTGAATAGTCTATGGATTATTTTGCTTCTGTCAAGGTGAGTCAAGGTCCTCCGTGAATGGGCTGCGGGGTGGAGCTTTTTTGGTGAAGTAAACAGAAGTGAATAACCTGCTGCAACTCCACAACTTCTCCTCAGGAACTATAAGACTCTCGTTGCGCACCTTCGAACAGCTTTTCTCCATTTTCCTCACCACTCTTCTCATTCATCTTTCTACTTCAGCGAATCCTACATCTCTGCCATCGTCACAATGGCTAGCACCACCATCAACAAACTTCCCAAAGGGCCCCTCTACGAGCTGGACCCAGAGGGCGATGTATTCCTCGTCGTCTACAACGTCCCTGCTTCTCTCCCTGACAATTTGGACCATCTTCATCCGACTGTTTTGTCCGGTAGCCTTCCCCTGTTCGGCGAGTACAAGTCGGTCGTCAAGCTTCGTGTCTCGCAGAAGACGCTCAGCCTATCTAGCAACTACTACGCCGACATCTTCAAGAACCCCGTCATGGCAGCAAACCAGACTGGCGTTCAAGGTCACCTCCGCTTGCCCATTATGCATGACAACGCTGGTGGACTCGCCTTCCTGATCGTCATGCTCATCGCCCACCACCGCACGCGCCAGATCCCCCGCCGCCTCACGATGGACATGCTGCTCGAGGTTGCCCTTCTGACCGACTACTACAAGTGTCATGGTCCGATGGCCATCTGGGCAAAGACCTGGACTCAAGCGCTCACAGGCACGCCCCAAGCCCTGCAGACTCCCGCTGACACCGCCTCATGCATCGTGGAGTGGGTGTACATCGCGTACGTCTTCCATGACCGCGAGCTTTTCAGTGAGGTCACTAGGACCGCAATCGAGACCCAGACGGGCTTGGTCCAGACTGATCTACCCATTCCGGCCGTTATCATAAGTGCGTTTCGTCCAAGTATTCTCATATATAAATATAACTGACAACTGCCAATAGATCGCCTCAACCAGGCCCGCTTCGACTACCTCAACACCCTAGCTACCCAGCTCAATCACCTCCGCAATGCAGTTATCAATGGCTGCTACCAAGCCGACACTTCCGCCCGCCACACGCTGTGCACCCACCTCGTCTACGGCCGCTTCGTGATGACCGTGACGCGCCTCGGACTCTATTCGTTCCCCGTCGCCCCCTTCATCGGCCTGCGGATCCAGGATCTCGTCGAGAGCCTCAAGCATGTGCAGGATTCGCCGGGACCGGCGGAGAAAGGGGATCCCACCGGTAAAGTCCATGGCTTCTGTCGGCTTTCTGCGCGTGTCGCATGTATGCTTGATCTGGTGGATGAGCCTGTTGGTTTGGAGATCGATGATGATGCTTTTCCGATCTCGGCTCGTGACTTTTAGGGTTGTGGTTTGGTGGTTTGGTGGTTTGGTTGTGATTTTGCATTGAATACAGGATGGGTATGGATATGTCCTTTCAAGAGTTTATCGGTTCTCTCTTGGAATGGTTGAGCTAATGCAGGTGTTTGACTCCAATTTACTTAGGGTTGCAATCCTCCAGCTTTTATCAAGACTGTCCACATTATCTAACCGACCATGCCTGTACAGCATCGTTACTATCATTTTGGAGTCATCATCTTTCAGTTTATCATCTACAATGGCAACTTGATACAGAGCCATAGGTACAGTCGCTGCCCGAATACAACCCCTTCTACAGTATCACTGGACTAACATCCATGGCTGTCACAGACACCTGGAATGATCCATCACTTGTATCAAAGGTGTACGGGTAATCTGAAATCCTCATCATGGACTTGGATAGACTTGGACTCTCTATTCTGGGTTTGGACACTGGATTGCACATCACATACTGTTCCATTTGTCTTTGTCTTTTTTTTATCACATTTCGTTCTTCTTTCTCACTCTGCTCAATCTCCACTCAACTCATGGCCTACGAAGCTGCATGGATAAAGTTTGCAGACACCAATGTACACCGGCATTAACTACTCTACTCTGTTATCTCACAGTGCTAGCTAGCTATCAAAGGTCAACTTTCAATGTGTTCTTACTATTAAGTTCTTACCTCATAACACTGTATATCTTCTGTTTGTCTGGCACCGTAGGAAGTATAAACTTCGAGTTCTGCTGTCCTAGAAATCAGTGGTCCGTTATTAAATTACAGTGACACATGCTATAGCAATGGGTTCCGTTGTACAAGGCTACAAGCTATGGTATGTTGTATCAAGCTTTTCTTGTCTTGATCTTGTATCTTGGTTCATGTTATTTTCACCTTGCAAGAGAACCTTGGACTTCTGAGCTTGTTATATCAGCTTCAAGGTAATCAAGTAAATTACAATATGATCGAATCAATGGAAGCTCATAATTGTCTCTGCTTTCTCAAGCTTCTTCCCTTGTCCGCCATATCTCTCTGCTTTGCTTTCGGATCATATTGCTTGGACAGGATCAAGAAGCCAGACTAAAGATTGAAGAGTACTTATCACTCGTGATGGAGAAAGCGAATAGTCAGGCACCCTGAGTCTCTTGGGATATTCCGTGAGGCCATGAAACCCAATTGGCAATATGCCCGTCCTTATGCTCCGGCAAGGTCTATCACATTATTGGTGTAGTAGATAATTAACTCAATTAGGATATCCCTGCTGACAGAATGACTATTCATACTGAGCAATCAAGTACACATACAAGCTCTAGTAAAGTTCAGGGTGATTCCAAGGCCAGGAATAATCATCTCCGACATTAAGCCTGTGGTGCTGGAAGTACCTGCTGATCACGTGAGTGACGCGACCCAGGCCGTTTTGTTTTGTTCGCGAGAACTCGCACTTCCCCTCACCAGCTTCCACCAACAACAGCAACATGACTGAGCCATCAACCGAAGAAGAGACGGGCATTACGACCCTATCCAGCACACCTACCCTGCCCATCCGGGAATTCACAGGCCAGCCTTCGGATACATTGACCTACGAGTTCGATCCAAACGCCGACATCACCCTCGTGCTGCGCAATGCCCCGCAGAACCTCCCCCCAAGCCTGCAGGGTCTTAACCGGTCCGACCTCGCAGGGTCGCTGCCAGTCTTCAGCACAAACTCTAGCATCTTTCGACGCGGTAAGACACTCCGGCTCCGCGTCTCATCAAGACACCTGACCCTGTCCTGTCCGTACTTCGCCCGGATGCTCGAGAGCCAGTTCCGCGAGGGCACCGAGTTCCAGTCTACGGGACAGGCGGAAATCGAGCTGCAAGAAACCCGCACCATGTCGTTTTTACTGCTCATGTTTATCATCCATTGTCGGACGCGCCAGGTCCCGACTGCCGTGACCCTATCAGTTCTAACTGATATTGCCGTTCTGGTTGACTACTATGAGTGCCATGATGCGATTGCGCTGTTTGCAAATCTCTGGATCAAGGATCTGGCGTATACTGTTCCGAAGCCGATCACGGCACCGATAGGTGTTACGGCATTCCAACCTGATTGCAACGACTCTGCTCTTAACTGGCTCCTGATTTCTTGGGTTTTCAAGGACAAGTCGGTGTTCAAGCAGGTGACTTCGCACCTGCTCCATTATAGCATTGATGAGATTAGCTCAGATGGGCTGCCGATCCCTGGCTCGATTATAGGTGCGTCAAGTACGTTGAAATGTCCAAACCCCCATTAATAACGAATGCCCTCGCAGAGAGATTGAACAGCCAAAGAAACGCCAACATCTCCTTCCTGATTAACGACTTGAATGCCCTACACTCCCAGGCCGCAAAAGGATGCCAGAAACAAGCTGTCAAATCAGTCCAGATGTGTACATACACCGTCCTCGGCGCCTTGACAAAGCACATGATGGACATGAAACTCCACCCGACATCACCAGCCAGCCCTTACAAGGGGATTGGAATCACAGAGTTGAAGCAGATCTGCGCCGCCTGGACTTCTCCGGAAATTACAGAACCCTACTTGCCTAACCACCATGCAGCATGTTCCTTGAAGTCGCGTGTTGCTGCCGTTTTGAAACGACACCCGGATCTGGTGGGACTTGAGCTTGATGACACCTTTGGAAAGAGTGTGCGAGGCCGCGGCAAGGAAACAGTGAACTAAGTTCAACAACGAGCTAAGGATCGACTGCCATTTTGTTTTTTTGGCGCCGCTCCGTTCTTGACGCGCCTGTTTGACGGGGCATGTAGTCAAGCTTCAATGACCTGCCACCCAAGGCCTCGGGAGCTCAGGCTCGACGGGTATTCCCCAATCCATTTGGCTCTCAGGAATATGGCCGGTGAGAACACTAAGAATACGGAAATGAAACCTCGTATTTATTGCGGTCAAACGCTGAGTCTTCCTGCTCTGATATAGTTTAATCTTACTTTACTTCATCGCATGTCTCTACACAATGTCTTGAATGCACCTCGCGTTGAGAACAACTGCATCGTCCAGACCATACTTCGACTTACGACCAAACAACAAACTTCGGCTCAAATCCCTTTCCTGCATCAACCGCACGCTCGAGCCCCTCCTCTTTGGACAACATCACCACATTCTCCGGATAGATCCTCCCCAAGACCGCAAGGGCAACGATCTTCTCTTCCGCGGCGATAACATGGAATCCTCCTTGAGCCGAAGTGACGAGTCCAGCCTCAGTCAACAAGATCTCATGTGCTGCGTGGGAAACAATTTCAGATCCGAACTCACGGCCGGTAGTAGCCTCTTCAGCCTTGTACGAGTACCGCTTCCCGCGCGCAATCTGGCCCAGATCGATATAGGTACGCTGACCGTTGGAGAAAGACAGGCTGAGGTCCACCTGTCTAACCGGCACCGGGTCACTTTCCGTCGAAGAGTCGCGCAGGACTAGACTCGCGCTCTCCACGCGCGGTGCGCCTGTCTCTGGGAATGCCGTTGGAGAACGATGAACAGTCCCCGGCGAGATCTCAACCCTTGGAGCGGAGTAATAATCCGCGAACTCATACTCAAACAGGATATTCCCACGGGACGCATCGAGTTGAGCAGGGATATACTGCAGCAGATGCAGCGGCTCACGTCCACCAGAGAAAACAGCCGGAATGACAACGCCACATCCATACTGAAACCCATACCCAACAGCACCAGCCGTACTCGCAAGCGTCAGACCCGGCACAAGCAACGCCCTCGCCATCTCCACGACCGCCGCCTGCCCAATTTGCTTCGTGAACAACCCCGCCAGGAACTTCTCCCTGGCGCCCTCCATAAACCGGAGTCCACGGACCTTGCCCACAGAATGTGTGATGGGTATAAGAACATCCCCGTAATTCACAAACGGCAACAGCGCATCCCGCAGCAACACCATCTGGTGCATATACTCGTTGAACAACTGCATGAGAGCCGGCCTGCTGCGGGGCCCGAACACCAGGTCCACGTTTTCGGGGGTCAGGAGGTGTCCCTCGCAGCGGCTGCGCAGGGCGAGGTCCACAGCTCCAGGTGCCTTCGAGAAGTCCCCGTCCTTATCCTTGCGTTCCGCGTCCTCGCTCGCCCAGCTAACAAGATCGCGTCCAATCCGCTCCGCCTGATGTCGGATCTCAGCGCGGGATCTGTCGAGAGATGTCGAGGTCCCGTTCGGGCGGGGGAAGGGGAGCGAGGACTCGCGGGTTTCCGTGGCGAGGATGGCGGACATGTTATTCAGAAGCTGGGACCGTGGGTCCGGCGCAGCGGGATCAGGTTTTAGATGGTGCAGGACTGTGTTGAGGAGGGGCGCGAAGCCGTGCACGATTTGGCGGGGGGTGTAGATGCCGGCTTTGAGGGTCCATTCTGGTTTTGTGAGGAGGGATGCCGGGGAGGGGGTCGGAGGGGGCGTTATTTGTGTGCCGACTTTGATGGTCCAGGGTGGGGGGAGGTGATAGGTGCGAGTTAGAGGGATTGTCATTTTGGAAAGGATTGAGGCTGTTTTTGTGGTTGTATGAGGGATGCCCATTGACTGTCTTGGTGTTGTTGCGGAGAGCAGGTAGTGAGGTACGAAAGCAGAGAATTAAATAGATGCATCGGAGACATAACATAGGCATTGGAATTGATTTCCAATCTTCGATTAGAAATGGGATCTTCTGACGCACTCCAGATCGGAGCAGAATGGGCATGGCCATACTCCTCCGGCTGGCCAATCGGAGGAGAGTGGTCGTCGCAGCCCCTACCGAGTACAAGTTCTCAACTATTAGTAGGCTTGGCTTTCTTTTTGTATTCCTATCACTTATAGTAACATAACCTATGGTATAGGCGTCTACGTGTCAGGCTTGCCCGCTATCTCGTGCTGAAAATGGCCTGGACGGGGGCATACTTGGCCCTTTGAGTCGAACGCCGTCTATATCACGTACTTCACCCTACTCCCTCTTTTACGGATATTGTATCTCTTGTGTGCAAATGCAGACCTCCTAGTTGAAGGCCACCTTTTTTATGGAGACAGTTCGTGTTATCTCCGTAATCATTTAATAGCCCCATGTACCTCAGATTTCCAATTCTTTCAGTAGCACCTCCCTCTCCTTTTACCTGTTTCAACTATACTCTAGGGTCCATGTTAGCTTTGAAACTCAGGAGCAATACCAATGCGGCTCCTCCCGCGGATTCCCAAAAATAGATCCTGGTATGAGCCTTAACAAAGCGCATTCACCCTTGCACTGATACATACAAAGCTTCTGGTAGAGGCGCCAATGTACAACAATAAAGCGGTACCTACATAGAAACAAAGAAGGGCAAACGCTCCTGCAACATGGTCTTGTCACATCATGATAAAGGGTTGAAAACACTCCTGATTCACAACTTGTTTTCTGTATTAATATCAACAATCACCCAACAAGCAAGTAATACTGTGAAATGTCCTTTCACTTTATAAAAAAGTCAACAAACACTCCTCATTCACAGTACATGTTATTTAGACTTGTTAACAAGACTGAAGCAAGCCTTGATAAACAAACTGGCCGAAATATCTTCCATTAAATTTCCTCAATCTGCTATAGAAGTAGCCGGGGGCTACATCATAAGCCTCACCACTAGATCGCCTACAAATTTCCATTACAGGCATACAAGATATCTACGAACTCGCCAGATAGCAAACAACCAAGATGGCACCAGCATCATCATCACCATCAGCAGCTTCACCACTGGCAGCTCCGCCATCAACACCCCACCCACAACCCCAACCCCAACCCTCCTCACCCCCCTCCACAACAACAACCCTCTTCCACCGGCACGACCTCACATCCGCAGACGTCAACAAAACCATCACCCTCGGCCTCGCAATCTCCCCATCCGGAACCCTCTACACAGCCTGGGGCACCGTAACCGAGATCCTCAAGCTCCCCTCGCTCGTCCTCGTGCACCCATCGCCAGAGCCAAAAGCAAAGCCMGAGCCCGAGCCCAAGCTCAAGGTCACGCTCAAGGTCCCACCATCAGCAGACCAAAAGACGACTGGTATTACCAAGGCGTCCGCGTCCACACGCAAACACAGCACCGGCAGCCTCTTACTTTCCCGCCGACGCAGCTCGGTCTTCACCTCGCACCCGCACCCGCACCCGTATCCCACCCCCAAGAATCTGAAGCACAAACCCGCGCGCTCGCGCTCACGCTCACCCTCGCCAACCCAAAAGCCCTGGACCTACAAAGACCTCACGATCCGCGCGCGCAAGCCGCACGGCCACCTATGCGCGAGCTCGTGCACGCACGCGCCCGGCGTCAACGTCTCCGATTGTCCGGCGCCGCTGCCAGCGCCGGGTTGCGTTTCGGCGGGGGTGTGGGTTGACGAGGCTTATCCGCGCGGCGGGGGGGATGTTATGCGTGGGGATGGGGTGGTGGATGAGGTTTTGGGCGGCGTGAGTGTTGCTGTTGTTGAGCCGATGGGGTTGATGGAGATGGAGGAGCTTTGTGAGGAGGATGAGGAGGATGAGGGGGAGGGGGAGGGGGAGGGGTGTTGCTGAGGGTTCAAATTGAGCGAGGATAGTTTTGACTGAATGGAATATTAGCATTAGACCCATGTCTCATACCATAGCATTTTGCGTCACTGGCATCAATTAGATAGCATCCATAGCCACTCGAGATCCATCGTATCCCCAGGTGCCGACAGTGTCTGGTCGTCTTCCCTTTTCCATCCCATCTCAGTGCATTATATTCAGGCTGCAGCATTGCTCTGCTTCTCCCCTACCATACTTAACCAACCCAATGCCTAGGGTAGTACCCGTGGTACCATATTCCCAACCTGAACCTCGCATCGCAAGATAGTACATAACGCCGGGCGTCCGTGCATCCCCCAACAGGCTACCATACCTAATCCAGCACAAGACCACCGCATAGTATAGCACACAATGAAGATGTAAAAGAAGACTACACTATCAGAGCTAGAAAACTCAGCGTATGAGTCTCACCTCGGTAACTACAAGGTACGAGTCTACGGCCGTGATCCCAGCACTCTCACCGGTCTTACCGTGTTCCCAAGAACCGATGGATCGAGGATTGGATCATACCCTACTCTCCGGGTCCGGAGGTCGGAGGTCGGAGGTCGGAGGTCGGAGGTCTTGGGTAGGGTAGAGGACGATGCGATTGAAGCTTGCGATTGATGGGATGGGGTACTCGACACGAGCATGCCTAGGTGTAGCAACCGGGCCACACCACCTACCTACGTAGCTCGATGTACCTATCTCTCCCACAGATGATTCCGAATACCTGACCCTAGACGCAAAAAGCAGACCTCAAACTTTGAAGCTCAAACCTCAAAGCTCGCTCGAATACCTAGGTAAGTCAGGCCTATTTATTCGTATTATAATATACATCCATATATACCTATTAGAGCGGCTAGCTCGGTCTACAAGAGGACGGGAATGCAGGCTAGAATAATTCAAGAATGCGGGGATGGAGACGAACTACCGAGAGCCTGAGGTCATATTTCGTAGATAGGTATAGCTCAAAGTATCATCGCGATCTGTGCAACGGACTAGACATTCTTTGAATGTGATAGATGATGAAGCCATAGATTCAAGAAAAGGAGATGGGAGAACGTGAAGTTCATATAGACGGTAGCAACCGCCGCACCTCGGCTCGAGGTCCACTCGGACTTGGCTGATCGTAGCGCTGGCAATACGTACTCAGAGTATATACTAGAATAAAAGCACATACGAAAGTAGTTGGTGCTGAGATGCGAATTAATTAATCCCAACTATGCAATGCAACACAACCAACATGCAAAAATCTCAAATACACTACAAACGAATCTGAAACCGTGGATGCGTCCGAATCATCTCACCATACTTCCAAAACAGCACGGGACAAGCACACATGACCAGCGCAATGAACGCGAGGAGCGAATTCCCCCATCCCAAACCCAGCGCTTCATACATCGCCGGACCAGCGAGAGGAAGCAGCGCACCACCCAGCGACCGCAGCGCCGTATTGGCGGCCGTCACGGACGCCGCGTGCAGGAGGTACGAGTCGACGAGGTAAGTGTTCGCAACCATAAACACACACATCAGGCCGATGGCGAAGATGCCGGTGCCGATAATCGGCATGATCCAGTGTGTTTTGGCGTCGGCGCTCCAGCCGTACCAGAACAGGCCGATGGGGATAGCGAGGGAGCCGAAGACCATGGGCGGGAGACGGGACTCGGGCTTGAAGATTCCCCTGCGTGTATGGTCGATTGCGATTTTGTTGCCGATGGCGCCGCTGATCACGAGGCCGATGATGCTGCCGATGCCGAAGCCGAGGTAGGCGAGGCCTGCGACGCCCGAGGACCAGCCGTACTGGCCTTCGAAGATGCTGGTGATGGTGGTGAACATGAGGTAGAGGTAACCGTAGGAGATGGTGGCGAAGAGCGAGAAGAGGAAGACGATGGGCGAGAGGAAGAGGAATTTGATCGGGCGGGTGAAGGCGTCGACGAAGACCTGCTTCGGGGTGCGGCCGGTGTCGTGGACGGAGCGCAGCGACGGGTTGCCTGTCTCTTTGCGGAGTTTGGCGGCCTTGCGGGCGAGCAGGACTGGGGCGTACGACTCGCGGTAGGCGAGGAGCGCGCCGATGCTGATCACGCCGGTCTATTCAGTCAGCTACGTGCTCATTCAAGGAAGGTGGACATACCGCGATCGCAATGACCCAAAACACCCATCGCCAGCCTGCTGCCTCGGCCAGGAAGCCGCCTGCAACTGGCCCGACAATGGGACCGAGAATAGGGCCCAATGCCCACACGGCCATGATGCCAGCCCGCTTCTCTTGCGCAATCATGTCGGCGATCGTCCCCGAGCCGATCGTGATCGGACACACACCAGCAACACCGGCAAACAAGCGAAAGACGATCAGCTGCGGCAGGGTTTGGGCGACGGCGCAGGCGATGGTGAAGACGAGGAACAGGACGTTGCAGGCGTGGTAGAGCGGCACGCGGCCGTACAGTTCCGACAGCGGCGCAATGACAAACGGACCGACCACGTATCCCAGGATGAAGACGGACACGACGAACGAGGCCAGCATGGTATCGGAGGTGTTGAAGTCGACCATGACGTGCTGGATGCCGGGGGCAAACATGGACGAGGCGAGGGGGCTGCATGGTCAGTACTTCGAATATCAATAAGCTTGAAAGGCATGCATACGTGATGAATGTGTTTGCAGCCATCAGCACCATCTGAGCGGTTTTCTTGCCAGTCGACCAGTTCATCGGATTGGCAGGATCGTCAGGCCCATCCCAATCGACCTTGTCTCCCGCTGGTGTTGGAACATCTTCTTCCTTCTCGCCGCGTTCGACATCTTTGTCCAGGCGTTCGTCTTTCTCCAGTCGATCTTCTTTCTCCAGGCGCTCTTCTTTCTCCAAGCGTTCGTCTTTCTCCAGGCGCTCGTCTTTTTCCAGGCGTTCCTCTTTCTCCAAGCGTTCCTCCTTTTCCAACCGAACCATATCTTGCTCGTCGTTAGTCAAGGTGACTGACGACATGTCTTCCCAGGCGTGGTGTTGGTTCTCCAAGTTGCAGGGCGCGGACGACTCCTATTATTTGTACGATTGTACGACCGATCCTTCAGCTAATACTCTCACCCTCGGATCTGACCACTTTTGTGAACAGATCTGCCAGGCCAACATCCAATGAGCGACAGGAACTGTGGCCTTATGCGGCGAGGGTCTGTGTTATGAAGAGCTGGACCCTTGGCTCGCCGCCGTATTCGCGATTTAGTGTACGCAGCCTGCATAAGCCTTGCATAAGTCGCCTTATGCAGCGGTTTCTGGGATAAACCCTGCACGAGTCGGCAGACAATAAGACTTTGCCGATTTGTGCATGATTTATGAATGCGATGCTGGATGGACTTGTTCCATCAATTCAGCCCTATGCCGTCCATGATGCCATTGTCCGCCGCTGTACTCCGTATAAAACCGTCAAAGCATCGACTCGGATCGACCTGCTGCATACACTCCCTCAGCAGTCGATGCCTTGCGTACATGTCACTCGGGGATATCCAGACTGCGTAATGCGTTCGGTTAGGGGTGAAGCTGTTGTACAACCAAGGTCAGTGCATAACCCCATGATTTGGGTGCATGTCGCACTCGCCCAACTTCGAGGGAATGAACGTACTCCATACCGCGTCTTCGGAGATGCCATCGGCGACCGGGGAGCGTCTGGAGCCCGTCCAGACTCCACAGCTTTCCTTGAGGCGAAAGGCTCTTATCTTCATTCGGTATGTCAACCCCCCGACCTCGCGAGTCTTACTCCGTATCCCGTCATGCCCAGCATAACCTCTCCAGATCCAACGACTCGGCTCGACAAGGCCGGCTTGGTGTCCTTGGCGATCCAGCCTGCGAATCCGATGCAGGCGACGTGTGGAGTGTCCGATTGGCGATTTTGCGGATCAATAGTGCCGGGTCTGTTTAGGCATTGAGGCGCCGAGTAGCAGATACCATCTCGCTCTGGCGGTGGCAGACCATTTTACGCCCAGACAAGGATGTGAGCTGTTTCCCGCACTGGCTTGGTTGACACGGACACCTTGCAAGAATTCGAGAACAGCTCAGGTCGTACGTTATCAATAGTCGATTGCGGTGGCCAATGGCAACGCGCACAGATCCGATCCGAAGAGGCCGGTAGGAAGCTCATTGCTAGCTCGCGCCACGACAGGGACCTAAACGGACCTGTGTGAGTGTTTGCTTTTGAGTTTTGAGTATCTGGCGAGTTTAGGTTGATTGAGACCCTGGGTGCGAAGTTTGAATGCTGGAAAATGCGTCTGGTTGCTCGCATCCTGCGCTCCGGGGAGTAGCCCGTAGCCGCCGCTGCTGCTGATGTAGGACTTCAATGGTAAACAATGGCAAGGCGAGTGAGGAATGCTGAGTCTGAGTCTTGAGTGTCAGTTTCTTGAGCGCACCTTAGATGATCTGAATGGAAGATGAAAAGCGATGCCGATATGAGAATGGATTGTTGGAAAGGTTGCGTCCGTCTCGTTCCGGAATGCCCGGACAGGCTGGAGTGCTGCCTCAGGCCGTAAGGCCGCGACTGGATTGTGCCGAGGCTCTACTTTACTCTGACAAATTGACAATAGGTCTGTTCGACGCATTGAAAGATCGGATAATGCCACTTACCTGTCTGGAAGAGAACGCAAGTGTGTGTCTATGAGTTACAGAGTGTCGTCGGTGTCATCATCTGGGTTCTTTATTCTTGAGTGTGAAGCGCCGAATCTCGGCAGGACTCCGGAGTGTCTGGAAATATATTTCTGCCAGGATAAGGTACATTTCGCAGAGAATACTATGATAAGCCACCCGGTCCCTCCACTCAGATTATGTAGGCCCTCGAGACCTACTTGCATCTTATCTGAACGCATTGAAGCGGAACAGAATTCGGTTTTCAGAGTCCATGTCCGAGGTCGAACTTTAGTTGCACGACCTGGTCAGGCCACCACCGGAGAACAGACCCTCTACCTGCTACCTGCTTCCACATGGCCGGTGTGCATGGGCTAGTGCCAGAGCCACGAGGGAGAATCCAAACTTCATAGCGAAGTCTACATCGACGACATTCCTAGGAAGCGGGTAGGGGCTTACACTGCGGCTGACGGAAGCAAATAAATAGCTCAATTGAGCCTACGGAAAGAAACGGGGAAGATTCCAAGGACCAAGCAGGTGGTTCATATTTGCCAAGACAGGCAGGCCATCAAGGGAGGGTTATGGATGGATGTCCACCTCAAGAATACGGGATGAACTGCGTTGCGTTGCGTTGGTTCTCGCCGTGTAGATGGGGATGGTGAAGACGGGTTTGATGGAGATAGGATAGAAGTTTCAACCTTGGTCAACGGATGAGGGGAGGGGCTTTGAAAAGTATCTGCGAGCCATTACCTATGAAGTTGTTGGACTGTAGGGATGATGAGGTCTTGAGTCGTCTTGGTGGCATTTTCTACCTCTGAATTGAACCTCTGGACATTACCAGAGTACTGGATTCATGGATAGCCAGGAAACAAGTCTTCATTATCAAAGTACCAATCTAGAAACGACAGAAGGTAGAGTATTAGGGCAGAACATGAAAGAAGAAAGGTAACATGAGAGTGCAGTCAGAAGCCAGGAAGTCTACATCACAAAGACCCAATATAGTGAAACGCATAGGTAATACAAAGCCTGGAAAGCCCCCAGCCACCCTAAGAAACGCTCTCAAGATATCAGTGGGCGCCCGCATCATTCGAATCCCAATTATCTACAACCGAGCGGAGGCCGCCCCCCAATCATCTCAAAAACGGCCCTCCGACTCTCCGCCCCCTCAGGGTAAAACAGCTCAAGCACATCCTCCTGGTCGCGCCCAACAACAAGGGAGTGGTTGTCCGTAATCCACAAGCGCTCATCAAGCTTAATCGCATTCCGCTTGGCGCCCTCAAGCCAGTGATCGAAGACATCATCCACAATCTCAACAGCAACCTCGGGCATCTTGCGCGTTTTCCACATCATCTTCTTGATCTCTAAGAGCGCGGCCAAGATATCATCCCACTTCGTACGCTCTTCGTGATATCTGATAAACACCGTCGGGATGGGGCGGTTCTCGCCTAGATGGAAGGACTGGCGGGCGCAGAGCTTGACGGCTTTACTCGGGCAGTCGATGTGATGTTTGCGCAGGATGCGTTCGACATCGGCCTTGATTGCGTACTCGTTGATAGTGAGCTTTTGCTCGATGGCTAGGCCCTTGCGGGTATGATCGATTTCCGGGATGAGGACTGTTGTGAGGGCCGGCACGGTGGTGAGTTGGCCGGCGCCCAGCCGGAAGTGGTAGGGGTCGATGTAGACTTCTACCCAGGCGTTGGTTGGGGCGTTGCGGGTGGGACCGTAGCCTGGGGGTGTGAGGTGCAGGAAGGGGTTTTCTTCGGTGGGGGAGAGGCTTTCGACCATGGCCTGGCTCTCGGGGGTGGGGATGAAGGGTTCGGCGTCTGCGCTGAGGTTGCTGTTGCTGTTGTTGGGGCTGGATTGGGCGTGGTCCGAAGGGCTTGCGGGTGGCCTGGGCTGGAATTGGACACTGAACATGCCTGAGGCGGTGTTAGAGCCGCCGAAACCGAGTCTAGGAGAGTTGGGTTGTTGACTTACCATTACCCACAGGCTTCGCCAAGGGGTCATACGCAAAGACCTCAGGGTCGCGGATCTGAGCGAACTCCTCAGGACTGGGTTCCCAGATGCGAGGGTGCGTGGAGCACAATTGCTCTAACAAGCGATCGTATATCATGACGCTGGACATTTTGGCTGGGACTCTGGTGGTCGAGTTTGGATACTTGACGATCTTGAGATGCAGAGATGCAGAGATGCAGAGATGCAGCAGAGGATAGGATCGATGGCAGAAGCGATGCAGACAGCACGAGAACGCCAGTACATAGCGACAAGCATTATGATAAGAGTCACCACCTCGCCGCCCGGAACTTCATTGCGAGCCTCTTTGCGCGGCCATGGGAAACCTTACCTTGCCTTCGAACAGTACGCCCAGCAGATGACCGGCCGGCGGACGATGAGTCCGCGTATCAGCGGCGAGACGGCAGCGACGGCGAGGTCGAGACGTCATTCAGGATGGTCGTACCGGGGTGATGTTGAACTCTGCCTTCACTATGCCAATGAGGCAACCTCTGATGTTGACGACGTTGAGGAGGATGTGTCTGCCACTGTATGTCAACGCTGATATCCCATGCCATCCAAAGAAATGCAGATATCAACATAGCAAGTTCAGGAGACGCAGTAGTCTTCCCGGGGCCTCAATCTCCCCAGGACAGAGACATTGATACCGGGCAGTGCCTTCAATCCCTTCTCAACATCAGATGCCATCGTCATCGAACCCAAACTCAAACCACGATCCAGCACCGGCCCAGCGGCACAGTAACTTCCATTCCCTCCATCCATAGAACATAGCCCAAAGTCGAGCCTGGCCAAGACATCCGCAACGACCATCCGCAACTCGTCGACGCGCCCAGACTCCGGCAACCTCAACCAAAATGGCCTGCAACTCGCAACCCAAGAACCTTCTCAAATACAGACGGAGCCTAGGCCCCGCCCATAATGCCGTTACCGAGATCCTGCCACACGACTCGGACCCAAGCGCCTGCAGTAGGCGAACAAAAGCCAGGACCAGCGCCAGCACCTCGGGGAGACTCGTTCCTGCCTCGCTGCACCCAGTTCTCTTCAGTGCTGATGACATTTGATCTCCACCACAATCTCAACTCATCAACCGCCCGCTCGAATCACCGCATCGACATCGACATTGACATCGTCAAGCAACACGAACAGGTTGCAGGTGCGTCCGGAACTCCCCTCCGCGGTCGCAACGTGCGTCTTCACCATCCTCCCAGCCCCAGCTCCACTCAACGAGCCGAACTGCTCATCTCAGATCGAAGCCGCATTTCTCGAAGAGAACCCGTAAGCACAATCGATCGATGGACTCGCTCGACCGTCCCATCCCCGCCGCGCGATGGGATCTCCCCACGAACGACGCGGTAGCGTCTACCGTCGCCGATCCGATCCAAATGCCACGAACTCCGCCATCAGGCGACAGGAACCTCCGCCATACCGTGACGTGCTCATTCAAGCGCCGTCGACGCGATCATCCGGGCCAAACATCGCAGTAACCCAGCGGAAACCCCGATAAACCGAGTCCAGCGCGGCGAGGAGATAAACACAAACCAACACCAACACCACCACCCAGGCCATCCAACGTCCCCTTACCTTAGCAAGCGTAAACCGGTGCAGAAAACTCCGGCTTGGAATGCAAGAGTATCTCCGAATAATTGATAAAGAGGATTGAGGTCTTTATACCCCTCCGGAACAAGTGCACTCCTCCGAGCAAAACTCTTCACGCCGGAAGCTCTTCACGCCGGAGATCGTTTCCGGCGTTGCGAGATGTGTGGCATGATGCCTGACCCAGTTTACCTGTTGTGCTTCAGACTTCAGGATGGGAGCGAGGTGATAGTATAGTGGATGGACGGTTTCGTTGCCAGGTTGCTCAACTCAGTCGCTCCATGTCTTCGAGGCGGATGTATCTTCTTCGAGGCCGGGGTCTGGGTCTGGGTCCGGGTTCTCAGGGGTTACCACACCTCCAGCTATTGTATGGGCTGGAGAGTGTGCACCAGGCTTCAGGTCCAGTTGTACTGTTCGTTTCCGACACAACCACAACCATAGCCACAGCCACAGCCACAGCCACCGTGCTTCTCTCTAAAGAGAAACATACTAAGCTTCAAAGTCACGGAAGCGAATCGATTGAAATGTGCAAAGGCTCTCAGTTTTGATAATGTAGACCCAGTTTTCCTTCCCTGGAGAGTATGCACTGACGGCACCTGCGGTTGCGACCCTCGACATAAGAAGGCAATTCTTTTACCGTATTATATCCTTCTTCGTCTAGGATAAGAGGCTGAGTGGAGTCAGCTTGATGGATTCGTATTGTTACTATCCCATTCTAGTCCCCAGCTTCCTGTACCTATATAGGATAATATGACACGGTAGCATGGGGCCTAGGGTACCTAAGGTACCCATGGATTAGAGGACTCCGCATAGACGCCGACTTTAACTCGGAGGGTTTGAGCTCTAAGATTTGAACCTCCTCCTTAGCAGGGTATGTAAATGGTACTCCAGCTCTTGGGAAGATAAATCACTCTTACAAATTTGCTGGAAAGCAAATATGATGTAGATTCCTACGCACTAGATATCTTGTAGTAGGTACCTTCGGTAGTCCAGCAAAACGACCCACAATGGATTAGGTAGAAGCCCTAACTCCGCCATCCAACCTACCTAGGTAGCATTAAATACTCCAGTGTACACAATTCATAAAGAACCAAAACAGAAAGGAGCAGATCCATTAATTTTATCATGCAACACGTCAACAACGCGCATAATCAAGCTAAATCAACCCATCAATCTCCATCCCAACATCTAACGGCGGACTTTCGAGCTGCGGACCATCCCCCTCGCCAAAATACTCCTGCACCCACGACTCGATCAGCGGATCAAATCCCTGCGCGAACTGCTGGAGGTCGAGTCTATCGAAGTCGGGGGTTGTGTCCATCCTTTGCAGTTGCAGCTGGTCGGTTGTGTCGGGGGCGATGTAGAGGTAGTCGAGGTTGATTTCGTCGGGTGGAGGTGGAGGTGGAGGTGGAAGTGGAGGTTGGGAATTTGAGGCCGCCGGTTGCTGCGGGATTGCACTATTAGTAGGTATAGGAGGAAGAGAGATGTTTGATAAAGTGAGCAGATCATGGTCGGGATCTTGGTCTTTATTCTGCTCGGCCGGCGCAATACTCCTCCCATCGATGTACGGCAAATTCCCCCGGCTGCTCCTCGCCCTATCGACGGGGATGTCCATCTCCATAACAGGTGATAACGATGGCGTCTCCACCGTCCATGGCAAGCGAATGCCCAACCCAATGGGCGGTATACACCGGACGAGCTCCGGCAGCGCATTGTCATACGGCAAGCGGCCAACAGCCAGGGAATAGTCCACGCTCGTCGAGATGAGGAGGTACGCGCGCGGGAAACGGAGGAACGCTTCGTGCCATGAGTCTGCCCTTCCTCCCGGTGCTAAAGCATGGTCATTTATCGGTTCAGGGGCTACTGCGCTCGAAACATCACCCGAGAGCTGGTCAGGGCTGGAGATGGAGCTCGGGGTTGAGCTGGAAGCAGACGACGAGCTAGCGGACCCACGTCTCTCTGTAATTCGGGTGTGTTGCTCGACGTCGTCCCATCGTAGGAACAGATGCTGGGATGTCATGTATGCGAGGCGCAAGATGTGGTTCGTCCCGGCCGTGACAAAGTCCGTGACATCGTAGACACGACCTGAATGTCGGACGATTTCACCGAGGGCATCGAGTCTTTTCCGCCGACGGGCCATCTCGGCGGACGTCGGGGAGAGCTTGAGGTCGATGGCCGTGAGGACGAGTGGCATTGCTACGTAGGCGAGCCTTCCGCAGTCTTGTTAGCCTGAAACTGAGGGCCAAGGGCCTGCAGGGGCAGCGTACACGCTGAGCGGCAGGTTCTGCGCTCGCCCTTCGCGCCCGAAATACTCCATTATGCTGGTCAACTTGGCCATCGCAATTCGAAGGGTCTTTCCGGCAGCAAGGAGGTAGGGGAGGTAGTCCTTTCCGCAGAATAGCGGGTGGTTTTCGAGGAGGAGGGTTTCGTAGTGTGCGAGGTTGATATGGGCGGTCCTACCCCGGTTGTTAGCTGATAGTTATGTGTTTCAATGAGAATACTGGAGAGAACGCACTGGTAGTACATGTACGTGAAGTTCACAAAAAGCAGCACTGCCTCCGGGACCTTCTCCCCCTTCTCTTTCCCAGCATCCATCCACTGCTTCAACGACGAGCAGTTCTCCCACCGCTCCATGGCACTCTTCGTCCTAGCGATCTTCACCAGCTCTTCCTGGAACTGCTCCAATGACAACGACGGGGCTGCAATGCCATGGCTCGCAAACACAAACGTAATCATTTCCGATAGCAAAACAGCAAGCCGGCACTGCTCCTGCAGGACCTTCAGCATCATCCGTTTGATGTCAGGGCTGTAAACCGGCGAGTTGGCGATCTCGTCCGCAAAGTCCTCTTCATCAGGTAACTCGGTCACGATCCCCATGGCCATATCGAACGACGTGACCTGCGGACGCCGCCGCAACCCAAGACAGACACTCCGGTCGCGGAGGATGATTGCCCACCACAGCCTCTTCTTCATCTTCTCTTTCCTATCCAAATCAACCACAGCCACTTCGGATTCAGCATTCCCAATGATCATAGCATTCTGAATCGCACGGGTCAACCAAAGGCTGCTGATCTGCGGCTCCGACGCGGACGTATGCAGCGTCAGAATGACCGCGCCCTGCGCCAGACAATGCGGTCTGTCCTCAGCGAGCAGGTCGTAGAGCGTTTTGGCGCGGAGATAGAGCGCATTTCGCGCGGTGCGCCTGTCCTTCCACCCGCATCGTCGGATCGTTTCAATGGCGACGTACTATCATTGTGAATCCGTCCGTCAGCATCGAGAATTCTATAGATGATCGGGAACAGGAACGCAGAAACCGTGGAAGTACATACCGGACACCCCGCAAAAGCAACAGCCTGAAAGACGAAAAGCGAGATCTTCTTCCCGTCGTGACCTTCTTTATATGTGCGCCAAAACCCCCCCTCATCGATCACCGGCGAGCTCGGATGGACCTGCAGGAAATACGCGCGGACGAATTCATCGAGGACCGAGTTCGCAGGCACACTCAGACACCCCTTTGCAGCCAGGAACGCAATATCCGCGGTGTCCAGACTGCCCGTGGTAAGACCGCGGAGCTCGAGGAACGCATAATGCGCAAAGTGAACATGGCCCGGGGGCGTCTCACCCGCCCGGGCGCGTCCATCCCCATCCCCATCCCCATCCGCCTGCAACGCCAGCGCCCGAATCCTCTCAAGATGCGGATTCGTCGCGGTAGCCGTACTCGCACTCGCACTCGCATTCCCATCCCGCCCAGCGCGCCCAATACCGGGGACAGTAAACCCGGGGCCCGTGTACCTACCATGCGGCATCTCAATCAGCACAGGTCCCAATCCCAGGACACTACGCCCGGTTCTCAAAACAACGGGCAAATTGAACTGCAAGATGGACGTACGTCCGCGGCATCTTCCCCCTCAGCACACACTGCTCCCGCCCATCCTGCCGACAGCGCGTGCACGGAGACCCGCGGGTCGCGGCGTCGCAGCGCACTTTGCGGTGGTGGCACCATGTGCAGGCTTTTGGGGCGCGGCGGGTGCGGCGGAGCATTTTGCTTTGCTTCACTTCACGGGTTCACAGGTTCATTCGGTATGGTTAGTGGCACGGTTGATGGAGCTGCAGTTGGTGTTGTGGTGCAAAGGAGTTGGAATCGGGCTGCGGTGTAGGTAACCCTAGAGCGCCCGCCCTGGAGGGGAAGGAACAGGCGGCCGGCTTGCTATGGGCCAGTTTGGCCCCGAGATCCCGTGGATTTCTGGTGGGGAGGGAAGTGAGCAACCCTGGCGCACAGAGCCAGCAATTTGGATTTTGGACCGTTGTAGAAGGTCTCTGCGATACTAATAACTAGCAACCAAGCGTGGAGCGCAGCGAGTGATGCATGTGGCCTTGGCCTTGCGCGGTTGACGTCGGCGTGCACCCGTAGCCTTTGAAGTGGCGATGGTGCAGGGGTTCGATCCGGGGGCGACGGGGTATTCGTCTGGGGTACATGGTCCGCATGGATGGCCAGGGTCGATGTCAGAGAGGAGAGTCAGTCTGACTGCGTCGAGTTAGGGCTTCTGAGTCAGGGTGGCTGACGACCAGGGCAACACGTCATGTCTCGGCTGATTCAGGATATTTGAACAGTAGAGGCTTACGAGTCTGTCTTCGACTTTCTGACAGGGTCCAAGCTAAAGCTATACTTGGCCCTATTAATACCCCGCGTTATGTCCCGGTCTTGGGCTCTGCTACTCTGCTCCTGCAGTAGGGCAGGGGACCACGATAGGAAACCAGTGCGAACTAATTAAAGAGATACTAGTAATCTAACTAAGATAAGTCAATCTACCTAATCATCCACACCTGGCGACGAAGCAAAATCGTAAAGTGAAACGGGCTAGATCTTCCTCTGCGCCTCCCCATACTTGGCCATCCTCTTCCGCATGTCCTTCATATAGAATCGGACAGGGTATGTCCGAAGGACCCTGGGCAGGAACGGATATGTCGCTTTAGTCAATACCATCGTCGACTTGTACAGCCTCTTGCGTCCCTTGCTGGCCTTCAACCCGTACTCCTTCCTCAGTCTCTCCGGCAGCAGCTCAGCCGTCACAAGCCGAAGGGTTGGCATCAACGCCTTGAAATAGAATGGTATCTTTGGGTTGTAGAGCAAATCATGCGCAACGCTTCTTGCTTCATCACAGATTTCGAAAGTCGCTAGTTGCTCGTCCCAGTAGATCCAGAATGCCTCGCGGGTTGGCGGCCACATCTCGACAGGAACGCGAAGCGATGCACCCAGGACAACGTACTCCCGGTATGCTGCCTCCGCAGTTTCATCATCCATGACGCCAAAGATCGACTCGTATAAGTCGACGCCGACCGCGTATAGTGTCGCAGCAACCCAAAGCTGAGCACCGGGGTCGTCGGCCGTGTAACCGGGTCCGGTGACGGAAGCATGTGCCCGGTGCACGAGCTCGATGATCTTCTTCTTCTCGGCCGGGGTCCCGAACAGCATGCTGTAGACGTAGGTCATTGTAGTGCGCAGACGGTCGACCGGGCGGGTTGCGAAGCTGGAGTGGTAGTTCACGCCCTTTGCGACGCCTGGGTGTGCGACTTGCAGGAGGATGGCGGCGGCGCCTCCGCCGAGGATGATGGCTTCGCTGACGATCTTTTGGATGTGCTGCGGGTTGTTGAGGGCTGCCACGATGAGGTCGGTGTCGGAAGCGATGGGTTTGTCGTTCTGGGAGGAGGAACTAGAGGACGACATTGTGGTGGATAATTCGAGCCGTCAAAGGAAGTTAAAACGGTCAAGTTAAATCTGAGTAGGGAACCAAGGGGGGGTATTGGGCCGCTGGAGATACGAGCACGACCAGGGTAATATAAACCCATCTTCATCAGCAGAATAAAGACAACACTGAAGGAAGACAGCGGCATCATATGTATGTCCGTGCTACGAGCCGCGGACCGGGCTGCCGCGCCGCAGGGTCCATGGCGATCGCTGCATGACAGGCCTGGCCCAGTGACACCCGACTCGTGTCATCGAGTCATCCGTCGGTGGTCATCGCGTGAAAGCACCGGACGATTGAACTCAACGATGCGGGGTGAGGGGGATGGTTCGGATTGATGCTAGGCGGAAGCAGTGAACTGGAATACGGCAGACTGGATCGACATTGACAAAGCGTAGAAGTGGCAAGAAATGCAATCTACCCTGCCCAGATTAATATAACTATCCTGGTCAAGGCCGGCGTCGCTTGAATCCCCCACTGCGCGTCCTCGCTCCTTCCTCCTTCGCATCCGACAGAACCACTGCAGGGTGTGCTTCACACTTCCGTGTCTCTCCAATGTGAGCGAGCTCACCATGGCCGTGGGAGATGCCTACAAAGCTCGAGTTGCTGAGAAGCAAGCCTTCGAAATTGCGCCTGGGCCTAACCGCTCCCAAGTCAAGGGCAAAGGCGCAGAGATCGAGCATGTCGAGGCCGTGGCATACAGCGCGGAGAAGCACAAGCCCAAGAAGCGGCAGCGACTGAAACGGCACTTTGCAAAGTACTGGTGCTGCTATCTGCTTGCAGGCACTATCTTCCTCGCAATCTTTTTGCCGGTCTTGTACGTGCTCAGGGCGTGGTCCAAACGCATCGCTAATGCTGATAGCTTCCTCGTCGCCATCCCAGCCATTGCCCAACGCATCGTCGAAGACACTTCCCTCCCCGTCTACGGCGCACACATCACCAACCCCAAGCCCGACGCGGTTACATTCACCCTCGACACCGGCCTCACCATCCCGCTCGGCTTAAGCGTTCGACTGGAAGCTTTCGAGTTGAACCTCTTCAACCGCGACTCCGACCCTGAGATTACATACCTGACGGTCCCGGTCCCGGAGTACAAGATCAAGGGAAAGACGAACATTACCCTGACCAGCGACGATACGCCGGTGCTTGACGAGGATGAGTTCGTCAGGACGTTGACAAAAGCGGTTTACTCGAAGAGGTTTACAATGTCCGCGATCGGGAAGACGACGGGCCATTTGGGCGCTATCAAGGCGGGGATTACGTTGGACAAGGATGTTGAGTTGGACGGTATCTCGTCTCTTTATATTGATTTGCTTCGGCTAACGAGAACAGGACTGGACCAGCTGAGCGGCTTCTCTATTGACGAGGCTGCCCTTGTCTTGCCTGCAATGGCTGACGGTTCGAACCTGCGCGGTAGGGCAACGCTGCCAAACCACTCCGTCGTCACCTTTGCCCTGGTATCACCTCCGTCCAATTTCCCATCGTTATGTACTGACTGCGACAGGGCAACGTCACGCTCAACCTCAAATCGGGTAGCATCGTCCTCGGCACCGCACTTCTCCCCAACGTGACGCTCCTCCCCGGCAACAACAGCGTCGGCTTCACTGGCAAAGCAGACATCAACTCCGCTCTGGCCAACATCGGGCCCATACTCTCCGCGCAAACCGACGCGCTCAAGAACGGTGAGATCGAGCTCAGTGCCTCTGGGAATCAGACCATGTTCAACGGCGAGCACATACCATATTTCGAGCAGGTGTTGAACGATCTCACGATTACGGCCAGAGTGTCGATCCTGAAAGTCGTCCTTGATACTCTTGGTGACTTCCTGGGAGAGGGATCTGATGGTGTCATCGAGCAATTAACCGACATTCTCGACAGAATAGATTTTGGAACGCTTTTCGAAGGAGTAGACTTCAACTCGCTTGTTGGAAGTGTTGGCGATATTATAGACAACTTGAATCTGGGCGCTTTGCTTGACGGCGTGGACCTCAATGCACTGCTGCAAGGCATTGACTGGGCGAAGGTGGTCGATGCTCTCCGTAGTATCCTAGAGCAACTCGACCTAAGCTCATTCCTGCAAGATCTTGACATAGCAGGTCTGCTACAAAGCATCGACTGGACAAGCCTGCTCTCCAGCTTCGCCTCCATGCTCCAAGACATCGACTGGGCCTCCCTTGCAACAACCCTCAACACAATCGTCAGCCGCGTCGACTGGTCAACCTTATCTGAACAACTGCAGCCAATACTAGATAATCTAGATATTGGCACATTCCTATCAAATATTAACTGGGGCGTGATAATCGATAGCATCGCGCCTATCATCCAGAACATCGACCTCGGCGCTATCTTCGACAACATCGACTGGAGCGCAGTGCTGCAAGGTGTCGGCGATGTTCTCAGGAATGTCAATCTCGGTCAGCTCTTTGAGGGCTTCATCGAGGGCTTGAGCAGTTTGGATCTGGGAGATCTGTTTGATTTCGATATTGGCGGGGTGAATGTCGGCGACGTGCTCGGTGGTATTGCAGACTCGGCGAATGGGACCAGTATCGATGAGGCTTGGGGGGATTTTATGGATGCGTTGGAGGATTTTGGAAGTAGCAGTGATAGCTAGTCATATATTCAATCATAGGCGCTATATTTGGCATAAATTACAGCCAACTGCGTAGATCATAGTCTCTCGCGAGTGACACTAGTCTCCGAGATCTAGGTTTGTATAGCATATCCATGGATATTCCTTTAGCATTTTGAGACCGCACTCGATCTAGGGCTAGACAGGCTAGGCAGGCTTGATTGTCTTCCACCGCTTCCGCCGCCTCAATGTCCGTGATGCCATGCCATCCCTAAGAATCATCCATCCCTTTCCACAAACCAGTAATAGATAACCCATTACAAATCTACTCCGGAGACCATACATCCTGAGCCTGGACTCAACGCCGGGCTGGAGCGGGCTGGCCCGTGCCGTGCCTTGGGCTACCCTTCCGGCCTTGTGGTTCGGAATCGTCTTCCACTGCCTGTACAACATCTCATCGGATTCTAGGAATGGTCTATCTATTTCTAGAACGGATGTATAATATGCCCATTACAAATTCAGGTACATTGGTAAGCATGGACAGCTCTATTCTGCCGTTCCGTATCCGCTTTCTGGGCTTAAATTCGGGCTTTTCCTTCTTTTACCTCTTTCTCTTCTCTTCTTTTCCTTTGCCTACATCCTAAGATCTTCCTCTCCTCGTTACTCTTTTTCTTCTTTCCGTTTTGTGCTTTTGGTTTCTTGCTTTCTGTTTTGTGCTTTTTGCTTTCTTGGTTTCTTGTTTGTGCTTCTTGTTTTCTGTTTTTGGTTTTTGGTTTCTTGCTTTCTTGTATGTATGTATGTACGCATGTATGCTTGTATGTATGCCTGTATGCTTGTATGTATGTATGCTTGTATGTATGCTTGTATGTATGCTTGTATGTATGCTTGTATGTATGCTTGTATGTATGCTTGTATGTATGCTTGTATGTATGCNTTGTATGTATGCTTGTATGTATGCTTGTATGTATGCTTGTATGTATGCTTGTATGTATGCTTGTATGTATGCTTGTATGTATGCTTGTATGTATGTACGTACGCTCGCGTCTTCTCTACTTCTTCTTGTGCTTTTGTTTTGCTTTTGTGTTTTTTTGTGCTGGTTGCTTGCTTGTTCGTGTACTCGCTTCTCGGCGTGCTCTTATAAGGGTTATACACTTGCTTGCTTGGTTCTGGCCTTTGGTTCTGGCTTTTGGTTCTGGTTTTTGGTTCTTGGGTTTATAGTACTTTGGGTTCCCTTTTGGGTTCTTGCTTCTACTTCTTGATTTGGTTCTTGGCTTATTGCTTGCCTGGCTTCTTGATCTTGGTACTTTGGGTTCCCTTTCGGGTTCTTGCTTTTTCTTGCTTTCAGTACTTTGTGTTCCCTTTCGGGTTCTTGCTTTTTCTTGCTTTCAGTACTTTGTGTTCCCTTTTGGGTTCTTGATTTTGGTTCTTGACTTTCTTGCTTCCCTTGATTTCCTGATTTCAGTACTTTGGGTTCCCTTTCGGGTTCTTGCCTTTACTTCTTGCTTTTCTTGCTTCCAGTACTTGGTGTTCCCTTTCGGGTTCTCAATATTACTGCCTCATTTTGTCTATCTGAATTATACTACATCCATTTGTAAGCTAACCGTGGCTAAGCACGGTACACCGCAGGATTCCACACTCGTCACACCAATAATAACTCAAAAACATCTTGGGATCGAGCCCTCAAGGTGTACACAGGATTATCGTCACCGTATTGAGGGCTCTCCTGTGTCTCGGACTTGGATATCTGTCTACATTGCGCTGCTTCGCGGCGAGAAAGGCGGCTCGGTGAATGGCAGTCATGGCTGGACCTGGCTACTACAGCGAGGCTAGGTACTATCTTTTACCAGGTGGCCATTAGCGCGGTCCTACCGTATCCGCAATCTCAGCCGGGAGATCAAAATGGCGATTGATTCGCGGCGTCCTTTGAGCTGATCTTGAAGTATTGACGATGGCCGAGACAGTGACCTTGAAGCTGCGGGGATTGAAATCAATCATAAGGTGTAGCGCTGGTATTGGGGAATACCGTTGTACCTCAGCGGCCCGGGGGACTGCTGTGCGCCCCGTCAGCCTGAGATACGGAAATGTAGCGCTGTTGATGCGAACGTCATCGAGTGGCCCGCGTAGCTAGAAAGGTAGTACCAACGTTTGTTGCGCAAGGCTAGCATTGTCCACCTCCTACACATAGGTACCTTAGTGTACTGCACTTGCACACTCGCGCGCGCCATCCGGACGCTCGGCGCAGTCGCACCGGGCCGGCCCGCGTTGTGTCGGGTGTGGCCGGGTCCGAGCCGAAGCCCGAGCAGCAGCACTGGACTCGAGTTAGGGCTACCCGGGACTCGTCGTGGCTTCCAACGCTGCTTGGACAAGACACTCTAGCCTCAATGCTTTCGCCTTCTGCTCCAAACCAACAGTCCGCAATGCTCAATTGACACCTTCGCATGGCATAGGCAATATTTCACACAATCTCGACATTGCCGCACCAATCACCAGTAAAAGTAAGGCTAGGATATCCAGGGTCAACCGGATGGTTTTGTCACGTAGGTGCTGTATTAGGTAATCCAAAGAGTGAGGAAGATGGTCTAGGCCTCGCTTCGGTCGTTATTTTTCTCCGATCACCTTATCTGTCTTGCAGACACCATTCGCAACATGGAAAGATACCTCCTTATTCAGTTCTACCGTACGTGACCTACCTAGTGGGGGTCACCGTAACAGTAGCTTGTTTGACCTCTAGCTGCTTACTTACTTGGTCGAGAACCTAGCTCTAATTCGATACAGACCATGGAGGCGCTAGCCTTCATTCCAACATTCCAAGAATCCTCAGCGCAGTGAAAGAATCTACAGTGTGGATCTATCCCATCTGTATCTCCGGTACCATATAGCATCAAGGAGTCGTGATCTTCTTAGCCAATATTCAAGAGAATCCACGAAGTGCAATTTGTGTCAAGAAGCAAAATCCCAAGTACGACAGGCACTGCCTAATCTTTCCTGAATAATACCCTGGGACCACCTAATCCCCCCTATAGCACTTAAACGAATTCAGCATAATCCCCCTAAACGCCGGGACAAACAAGCGAGCACCGAGGGTCCTAGTATTCTTAAGATCGCCAGTACCGCCCCCATTACACGCATCCGACCTAAAGCGGCAAGGAAGGCAAAGTTAGCTTAAAATTATTCCTTTGAGGAAAAGGGGGAAAGTGAAAGGAAAACATACCTCCAAAATCTACACCGATACCCATCCGGAATATCGGCGCCCTCGATGCCCTGCGGGAACTCGTGCTTGTTGCTGTAATCGAGTTTCTGGCATTCGGTTTGGAGAGTGATTCTGCGGCGGAGATTGTAGTCGTCGGGGCGCAGTAGGGAGACTGTGATTCGTTCTGGGTTGGGTTTTGGCGCGGGGGATGCTGCTGCAAGGTGGAAGGTTGCGGCTAGCGCGGTGATGGCGATGGTGAGGAGTTGGAAGAGATGCATGGTGTTTAGTGTGAATGACTTGAGTCTATGTTTGAGGTTGTGGGGGATAAATGGGATGTCTATTTTATCTATCTGTCGGAGGGTATGGTTCTTAGGTAATGGACCCTTGTGTCATGAGAGCCAAGGAAGCTCTTTCAGCATTAGCTTCTGTGTTCTTTGTCAGGTCTGCAAGGATATGATGGATTGGTGGTGATATACTAACAGGATCATGAGGGCATGCCGGGCCCTGGTCGGGACTTTCTTCTTGGACCCCCACCAACCAGAAAGAAGGCTGACCAATCTGAGCTTTCTTTGCCCCTTTGTATAGTTCCGGTAAGTAGATCAAGGCTGCAGTGCACGTGTCACCGGGCTTTCACGGAGAACAAAGAATATGTGTCATGTGGTCTCGGTCTGAACAATGCCAGTAGCTGGTTTCTGGATGTCCGTTCCCTGTGGTCTTGAAAGAACCAGCTTCTCTCCTGGTCAGGTCCTCTGAAACCCAGCTTTGCGAAATGAAGTCACGCAATACAGGCAGCAACTGGATGACCTCCCCTGGACATGGCCAAGGTAAGTATTATCCCTCCTATACACAATTAGTGTATGATTAATTGTCTCATCACAGCTATAGTGCACGAATACCTCTACCACGTGCTGTAAGAGTTTGCTATAATAGCTAGCTCTCTCCGAAACGTAATCTATCTGAGAATACCCCCTTTACTATGGGAACTATCAAGTCAACTTCCCGTCTTATGTCTTCATGGTTTACGGGTTTAGTCTACTTAGTCTCTGTCCATATCTAGCCCTGGAGTTTACCAGGACTCCCCATCTCTATAATAGCCCTACAGACCATTTAAAGGTGGCACCACCGACGATCTCAGGACCCCAATCCCTGTTCACCTCCTGACAATAAGACTTTGCTACACTTTAACTTGATCGTTATGCCCATTTGGATGCTCGCAACAGCACAGAAATTGATTAACGACAGTGTACAGAAAATGAAAAGACTTGCTGAGAGGTGATATAAAAGCTAACTGACGAGGGAATATACACGTAGTAGGGTAGAGGGTAGGGTAGTTCTGAAAAACCTACCAAAGACATCCAAAGCACGGCGGAAGGTGCATGCACTGCACTGCTCATTCTTCTTCAACCTTCTTCAACCTTGCCTTAGCTAGGTAATACCAATCTAGCCCTTACCTAATTCTTATAACACTTAAACGAATTCAACACCTTCCCCTGCCTCGGCTCAAACACCTTCCCAGGCGCCTGAATATCCGGCGTGCCATTGCCATTGCACGACTTGGACCTAGACACCGTCAGCATATCACACCCTAATTCCTTTCAAACAGGGGACCTCGGGACAGGGGCGGACATACTCCCAAAACCGACATCGATACCCATCCGGGATACTGAAACCCAGCACCCCATTCACGAACTTCTTGTCGTCGAGCGCCACGCACTCATGCTGCACCGTTAGCCAGATCTGCACGCGGTCGTCTTTCCTGCTTTGCAGGCTCGCTGCGATCCGGGTCCCGTCTTTGCTGACCTTTCGCGTCCAGGTGTCGGCCGGGAATGCCCCGTTGGGATCGGGGCCCGGGGCGGGGGCGGCTGCTGTGACTGCGGCCAGCGCAGTGAGGATTGTTAGTGGGAGGGAGAAGTGCATTCTGTATGCTGTACGCTGTTTTGTATATGACGTAGAGTCTTTTCAGGTTGGTTTGAGTTTGCGCGTAGTGAAACGAAACGTCTATTTTTTCGATGGGGGGTGTTGATTCTTATATAGCACTCTATAAAAGCTGAAGGGTTAGCGTGGAACAGCTGGAGGTCATGAGGGATCTCCCATACAGAAACTGTTTCAGTGTCTGGATTCTTTGTTGAGATTTCGAGCTGATTCACCTGAAGAGGTCATGGGAGCTGTTCTTTGTTTCTTTGCGTCTTCCAAGATACAGGATGTGAAGTAGGGCTTACAAAGAATATAGGCTTTTTGATATGCACGCATCTGTTAGCATAAATATCATGTGGTCTAGGTCTGACACACTGTAGTCCTTCAATGTTCGATTGTCTAAGTAATGTCCAATGACCTGGTCCACAATGTTGATATGCCTTGACCGACTCAATGACGAAGTTGTTGCCACTTTTTACAGGTGCCCAAGGGACGGGGATAGGCAATGTCCCCAACATAGGAGAAGGGGAGCGGCGATTGCCACGGGTCGTTCTTTTCACATCAAAATCAGACCAACTTTTGGCTGGACTAGGTGCTGCCCTCCTACAGGTCTTCAACGCCAACTCCTCCTCGGTATCTCCGAGCTCAAGTAAGTGCATCATACCTAGGTTGGAAGTATAGTTCTTCACGACTCTGCTAAAAGTACTATAGAGGCAAGAGACGTCCACGGTCTACTATACCTTAACCTCTGGATCCCTGGCAACCTTAATCTATATAAGCCTAAACATCAGGCGTAAATATAAGCCATTTAAACTAGGGCAACCTTGTGAGAAGTACAGCACATCTCACCCGGGAAAACAGAAATAAAATAATTCAAGCTACTATCACCTCAACTCAGAAGCAAGCATATCAACACATAACAAATACATACTACCAACCCCCTACCTCCTCCGTACGGTGCCATCCTATGCACCCGCCCCGCGAGCCCACTCCAAACCAGCCCCCTACCTCCTCTCTAGCACCCTAAACCCAAACATGCTCCTTATTCTTATAACACTTATAAGAATTAATCTTCTCCGCCTCCTCGCCAATCGGACGACCAGGCGCAAAGATATCGCCCGTCCCACCCCCACGGCACCAGCGGCCCTCCCAGAAGCGGCAATGGTGTCCCTCGGGGATCTGCACGGCCAGCAAGCCATCGGGGAACTTCTCTTTCTCAAGATTCATGCATTGCTTCTGCAGGCCGATTGTCACGGAGTAGCTGAATGTCGGGGCGCTTTTGAGGCCGATGGTTATGTAGTCTTTGTACTTCTTGCCGTAGTAGTCGGTTGGGGCGGCCGGGGTGACGGTTGTGCCTGCTGGGGCTGGGACGGGGGNGGTGAGGGGGAGGGTTGCGGCCAGCGCGAGCCCGACGAATGTTAGGGGGAAGTGCATTGTGTGTGGTGTTGTGTGTGTAGTGTGGAGGGTGTGGTAGATGGGTTGAGGTGATGAGTATGAGTATTGAGAGTTCTATTTTTGGTGCGAAGGAATGTTCTATATACCATGTTATATGTTAAGCACTCGAGATACAACGTATAGGAGGAGGAGTCTTTCAACGCAGGTGACGTTTGAGGGTTCTTGGACATGCCTTGAGCGCTCTTTGTGTCTCTTTGTGCTGGCTGGGGCGAGGGTGTCATGAACGCATGTCAGGTGGCCCATGTATAAAACACTGAAGGCAAGTTTCATTGTTCAGTATTCAATATTCCAGCGTCATTATGTTGGATCAGGCTGAGCCAATCAATGCTGGTGTGTCTTTCTGATCTGGACTTCACCAAACCACCATCAGAAACTGAAGCATAAATTGATGCCGAACCTTTCGATGACCTGAGTCGCCGTTCAGGCTAACCTGTCATTGCCGCTGTATCTCCATGGTCGGGCATGACCTCGCCTTTGCAAAGTCTGAAACGGGAGCGCCTGCAGGAACGAATGCCGACCCGCCTTGAACATGGCCAATTGAAGTTGAGATTTCCAGAAGGTCACAATTTCTGCGCCCTTTCAAGCAGCATCGACACATCTCCCTTCACCTCCACCTCCACCTCCACCTCCATTGACAGAGGCAGAGGCAGAGGCAGATGCAAATCGACTCTTCGCGCGAATCCGCGGCCCAAACGCAACAAGAACCCACGGAACGAGCGTCAAGGCAAAGCCCTATAGAAGCATACCGTCAGACAGGACAACCGTCCACATACCAAACTGGAACCTCAAAAGATCTGCAAAGGAGTATACATACAACACCTCCCAAAATGCTCCCGGCAACCCCATACCCCAAGTCCTCAAACATAGCATTCGTAACGAGCGGGAAGACGCCGCCGAGGATATTCCTGCCTAGCCCAGCATCCATCAGTATTTCCTTTCCAGGCTTACTTTCGTACATGGGAAGTGGGCATACAAAACGACTGTGCGGCAATCGCCGAGCTCGCGAATTCCCCATACGCATCGGCAAGGTAATTGAAGGTAGCGAGGTAAATCGCGAAAATGCCCGCGATGGCGCAGCCGATGCCCAGCGTCGGAACGATCCAGTGGATTGTTGGCTGTGCGGTCCAGCCGAACCAGAAGAGTCCAATGGGTAGGCAGACGGACTCGATGCACGCAAAGTACAGGCGGGACTCGGGCGACGTGTTGAAGAGGTTGTATTTTCGCGCGGCCTTGTCCTGGAAGATGCTGAGGAGGGTTGCGAGGGTTGCAGAGACCAGTATCACTGTGAATACAGCGCCGGTTTGCTCTAAGGTGAAGCCGTAGGTCGTTGAGAAGACGAGCGGGATGGAGCCAAAGTTCAGGTATAGGACTGCCCAGCTGAAGGCTACCCAGAGGGAGAAGGAGGAGACGACGGGCTCGGTTAAAAGGAAGGCTGTCCGTATCAGCTGAGGACGATTGTTGAATGGCAAGGAGTGGAGGCTTACAGAACGGCCTCGAGCACGACAGCACCAGCTTCTCTCCGAGTGAAACTGATTTACTCAAATCACTTTCGATGCGATACCGGACACGCACCGGACCATTGTTCCGTGGACCATGTCCAGAGCCAGTGTAAACGCCACGACAGCCCTTCTGTTCCATCTCCTCAAAGTACTCGTTCATCCTATCCGCCCATCGCCCCAGCAAAACACTCTCCCTCGTCTCGTCAAAGAAGAAATAAAGCAGGACAACGAAACACGCACTGACGATGGCCTGGGAGTAGTAAATCCACCTCCAGGTCGTCCTAGATGCTATTATACTGCTCACGAGGGGACCGAGGCCGGTTCCGAATAGAGTGGTTCCGGAAAAGAGGGCCATGGGAACGTTGCGCTCATGGTCGGCGTAGATGTCGCTGATGACGCCGCCGACGATAGAGGAGAAGGAGGCTGCGCGTTGGTGTATTAGTCGTCGGTGATGCAAGATAAGTCGGACGTGGTCAACGTACACCCTGCTACACCCAGAAAGAAGCGTCCAACCAGCAAGCCAGGAAGGGAGTTGCTAGCTCCGCATCCTGCAAGGCAAACTAACCATACCAATCTTCCATTAGCCATTGAACCAAGTATCCAGATAGTTGTAGATAGCGCGTACCGGTGAACAGCACCCCGCTCCCCAGAAACACCGGTCTCCGTCCCCAAGCCTCCGAAAACGGGGCAAGCAGCATCGGTGTCACGGCAAACCCAAGCGTAAACAGCGTCGTTCCCAGGTTATACGGCACCCTAGCAACCCCCCAGTCGCGGTGTAGTTGGTCGAAAGCCGGTGAACACTCGCCGGCGGCATAGGCTGCCATGACAGTAACGCCGCAGGCGATCACGGTTGTGAGGGACTTGCGGGAGGAAGACCATTTGGTGGGAAGGTCGGGAATTCGCATCGGTATGTCTGGATGAACGGGAAGAGGGGCCTCGGTGTGCTGCGTCTTTTCCGTGTCATCGAGAAACGGCGGAGAATGCATGCGGATTTCGATGTGTGGATGGGATCTGGGATCGAGGTATTCGATCGGGCTGTCAATGTCACAGTGCGGTTTCACTGAGGACGCGGGGTAAGATGGAGGCAGAGCCTGGGCCTGGTTGACTGAAAGGGAATCCATGAATGTGAATTCCGATGACGAGTCCATGGGAGGGATTGGATGGGATGCGCAGCTGCTTATAACATCGATAGTTAGGTAGACAGAAGGGAAAGGTCGGTGGGGAGCAGCGCCCAAAGGAACAGCCGGAGAGGGTAGCCTGCTCCCCGTCATCAATGGACTGGCTTTGTAGACGCAGGTCATTATTGGACAGGGTCTCGCTCAATCAGAGCTCAGGCCGGCTCGGAGTCGTCAAGCAGGTTTGCTTGCAGCGTGGTAGCAGGAAGAAAGACACGCGCCCCGCCACAGAGATTCCTTCCTTATTTGGAGAGTATATAGTGCCCGATTCACTACTTATCCTGCCCACCACTATCAGGGCCCACAACATTCCCTACGTCAGACCATCTGCTTATGCACAGGAACACTATCTACATGCACAGCCCCCATCTTGGGCTCTTTCTCCTTCTCATCGGAGTTACTTTCCGCCTCCCCCGTCGGTCTATCAAAAACCTCGGCGATAGTCTCCAGCGTCTTCCCAAACGTCTCCGGAAAGAAGAGATAAAACAGGACAACTTCAACAAGCAGCCAAGCCACGTAAACAAGGTAGTACTTCCAGCCCAGATCGTCCATGCCAATCGGGTTCACAAACTGGTTGAAGAACAGCGCCGCCTTGTTCGTGAAGATCAGGACACTCATCCCCGTGGCCCGGAGATTAAAAGGCAGGATCTCTGATGGATACAGGTAGAGCGTTGGGTTGAGGGCCAGGTTAAAGGTGGTGTAGTAGATGAAGATGAATGCCAGAGCTGCTTTACCGGCTCCGTCCAGTTCCAGCTCGTTGTACACCGCGATGCCGATGGTGAGAGCGCTGAATGTCAGCCACATTCCAAGACCGCCTCCGACGAAAAGCCAGCGCCGGCCGATTCGCGCTGCGGCGATGGCGGCGAGGACAGACGTGGCGTAATTTGTGCAGGTTATGGCGCCGTTGATCTTGAGCTGCTCCCTTGGCTCTGTGATGCCGATCGTTTGCAGGATCTTCGACAGATAGTATGATACCAGTCCGTTGCCCGACCACTGTCCGGCCACAGCGAGGATGATAATGATGAGCAGCCGCTTGCGGTTCCCGGGCGTGGCAAAGAAGAGCTTGAGGCTGTTTGTTTCAACCTCTTGCTCTGCGCGGAGTATCTCTCGGATCTCGTAGTACTCGGCAACCACCAGCTCGTCGTTCTGTTCTCCATTGGCGTGATACTGGACGAGAATCTGCAGGGCGTCCTCTTCCCGCCCTTTGTGGATAAGCCATCGAGGAGACTCAGGGAGCAGCCAGATAAAAGCTACTTGGAAAACCGCTGGCATTCCCTGCAGTAGCGTAGGAGTTCTCCAAGACCAGGAACTGTGAATCTCCAATGTACCGTACACCACCCAAGCACATATCAGTGAGCCGATGTAAAAGGTTGTTGCATAGAGCGCCGTGACAAAGACTCGATGGCTTGGATGCACCAGCTCGGAAATCAGAACAGGCCCTGCCGTCAAAGCGAGGGTGATCCCAAAGCCGACGATGATTCGAGAGGTGATGAAAGCGGCCAAATTGTTTGAGGCCGTTTGGATGGCCACCCCAGCAATCATGATGATGCTGCCGATGAAAATGGACCATCGGCGGCCGTAGCGGTCGGATATGATGGCCGAGAACGGGGTGGACAAGATGGCGCCGAGGGGGTACGATGCCGACATAAAGCCCAGGATAGCTCCCGTTGGGTGGTCGAAGTATTCCTGCCAGTTGGGTACTGCCGACAAAAACATCAGTCAAGTGAGGCAGGTTTACCGCAGCAGAGGACAAACCGGATTGCAAGCCATTTAGTAAGGAACTGTCATATCCGTTTGTGACGCATATCATCAAGCAGGCAGGGACAAGGATGCTGTACAGGCGTATGAGCGAGGGATTCATATGCCAGCCTTTGCCATCCTCCGCTGCCAGGATCTCAGCAACGGTCCGATTCGGCCGGTGGTCCAGTGTGCTAGGGGCCATAACTCTCGAAGTCGTTGGTGACTGAGAGGTAAAAGGGGATGTCCAAGAACGATACTAACGAACACAGAGCAAGGAAATCGGTTTCTTTCCTGCTGGCAACACATGCATGGTATTTATACAGGATGGCCAAGGCATGGCACGATCTCAAGTCAAACGGGACGAGTGGTCTTGCGAGCCCGGTACCGCGGGGGGAGCCAGAAGTCGGGGAAATCCTGGGGAGGCGAGAAGCAAAAGACTCCGCACAGTGGAAGACTGGCCATGCCGTGAGACCAAAGCAGGGCTAGAGAGCCAGACCCATGGCTGGCGCTGTTTAGCGGCGCGGAGACACGGACTTGGCGCTCTCTTCAGCCGGTGGGGCATCTCGCAGACCGGACAGCGGCCCGTTCTCCGGTGCTCTCATCGTACTGTATAAGAGGTAGGAGCCGGAGACAGTCTGGAGCTACATGCGGGGTTCGTTCTTGACGTCTTCATCTTCCTTTCTTTTCATTTCCTTCGTTTGCCGACAAAATGGGCGACGCTTCCATGAGGAACATGAGCGCGGCTGAATATGCAGCCAGTATGCTCCCTCAGTTAACTCTGGAGGAGAAGGTAAAGCTCCTGGCCGGTGCGGACATGTGGCGCACCAACGCGATTCCCCGCGTTGGTATCTCGCAGATGAAGTGCTCCGATGGACCGGTCGGTGTACGCGGCGGGCAGTTCACTGACGGAGTGACGGCGGCATCGTTGCCTTCGGGGTATGGCGCTAGAGGTTGTTGAACGCGGTTCTTTTTGACTGACCGTCTCAGTGTCTCTTTAGCAAGCACATGGGATCCGGAATTAATCGACGAGATGAGCACCATTCTGATCGCAGAGTGTCGCAGTAAGAGCATCGATGTTTTGCTTGGGCCTACAGGTAACTCAGTCAAACCCGGTCCATCATTGACTGTCCGCTAACAGTTTTCTCAAACTGCAGTCTGCATTCCACGAACGCCCCTCGGCGGCCGAAACTTCGAAGCGTACAGCGAGGACCCCTTTCTGAGCGGGAAGCTGGCGGCGCGATACATCAAAGGGATCCAAGAGGCCGGCATCGCAACATGCATCAAGCATTTCGCTGCCAACGACCAGGAACACCGGCGCTTCTTCGTCGACGCGCAAATCTCCGAGCGCGCTCTTCGCGAGATCCACACCCAGCCATTTGAAATCGCAGTGCGGGAGAGTAACCCATGGTCTCTGATGACGGCCTACAACAAGGTGAATGGATCGTACGCCTCCGCGAACAAGCATCTTCTTCGCGATATCCTAAGAGAGGAGTGGGGATGGGACGGCGTTGCAATGAGTGACTGGTTTGGAACCAATACAGTTGTCCCTTCGGTTGAATACGGGTATGAAGACTTTTTCTTGTTTTTTCATAGTGCTAACCGCTTCGCGAGACAGACTAGACCTCGAAATGCCAGGTCCCGTCAAGCGGAGAGGGAAGCATCTGATTGAAGCACACAAGCAAGGCCTAATCAGCGAAGCCCGGATCGACGAATGTGCCACTCGGATGCTCAAATTGCTCCACCGAGTTGGTAAGAGTTCAGAGCCTGACTGGAAGGAACCCGGAGAAAAGGCAGTCGATCTCCCTGAGCACAGGGCAATCATGCGCCGTTGCGCGGCTGAAGGTTCGTAACTCGAGTATCTCGTCGGGGGACAAGTGGATCCCTAACCTACCTTTCACACAGGAATTGTCCTGCTCAAAAACGAAAAGAACGTCCTTCCACTCGATATCCGCCCGGCAATGCGCATTGCTGTGATCGGGCCCAATGCCGGCAGGGCAGTACAATCCGGCGGCGGTAGTTCCGATCTCTTACCCCACTACAGAACAATCCCGTTGGATGCTATCAAACAGGCCGTTGACGAGGCTGGTGTGGGCGCGGAAGTTGCCCATGCTCCGGGGATGCAAGGCCATCGGTACATACCGTTGATGAGTCCCACTGTCATGAGAAACCCCGTTACCGGCGAGTCGGGGTGGGTATTGTCCTTTTGGGCCAATATGGACCATTCCGGCGATATTGTGTACGAGGAACATCGGAAAAGCTCGATCCTGGTCTGCTATGATACACTGCCAGAGAGCCTGACGACGGGGGAGAGGTATTCATATAGAGGGCGTACGATTCTCACTCCCAAGACCACTGGGAAGCACTGGTTCTCGCTCTCGTCTTGTGGTCCTGGGCGGCTCCTGCTGGATGGGAAAGTTATACTTGACATCCCACGACGATGGTGGTCGCCCAAGTCTCCGTTGTTTATGAGTTACGGGTCTCCCGAGGAGCGCGTCCAGATTCACCTGGAAGCTGGTAGACAATATGAATTGACTCTGGATGGAATCAGCCGTGAGCCTGAGCCTTACGAGTTCTCGTTCACAGGTGATCTTCTGCGAGAGGAGATTCAGGACGGCGGGCGGGTTGGTTTCTTGGAGGAAGAAACCAGGGATCTCATGAGCGAAGCGGTGGATCTGGCGGCGAAGAGCGACCTCGTCATCATGGTTGTTGGCAAAGACCGCGAGTGGGAATCTGAGACCAGTGATATGGTTTCGATGAATCTGCCCAAGGAGACAGATCTCCTCATCTCCAACGTCGCTCAAGTCAACCAAAACACAATTGTTGTCAACCAAACAGGTTCACCAATTGCAATGCCGTGGCTCAGCCAGGTTCGAGCTGTTGTCCAGGTGAGATCCATCATCACTGACTCAAATGGCAGGAAATCAAACTAACATGCGTCAATCATTGTAGGCATGGTACCAAGGTCAAGAACACGCAAATGCCCTCACCGACGTCCTCTTCGGCCGGGTGAACCCTTGCGGCAAATTACCCATCACATTCCCCAGAGTCTACGAACAGAATCCATCATCGCTCGACTACCCCGGCCACAACGATCGCGTTGTCTACGGCGAGGGCATATTTGCCGGGTATCGATGGTGGGATCGGCTCCAGATCGAGCCTCTCTTCCCCTTTGGCTTCGGTATATCATATAGCACATTCGAGTATTCGAATACCAGAGTCAGCGCGACAGAGCTTCAATTCTCCGAACAAGGTTCGGAAAGTATCGAAGTAACGGTGGATGTGACGAATACTTCGGATGTGGTCGGTAAAGAGATTGTGCAATTCTATGTGTCACCCAAGACGGCTCCTCGCTTAACCAGACCCAAAAGAGAGCTTAAGGGATGGAATAAGATGTTGGTCCGGCCGGGTGAGACTGTAACGGCATCGGCGATCTTGGACTGGGTTAGCATCGCCTACTGGGATGATAAACGACACGAGTGGGTAGTCGATGGTGGTGCCGTATTTGAGGTCATCGCAGCGAGACACTCGCGTGATATTGGTGTGGTGGCGGAGTTCCAGGTAGGCAAGCCTGCCGCCAATCTCAGATCGTCACGTTTCACTGTTCTGGCGGATTAAAACGATACGAAAGTGAAACAGGAGACCGTGTTCAGGCAAGGTGCAGGTGGTCTGTGGGTTGAAGAACGTGAATGTACCAAGTTATCATAGGGCTTCCTTCCGCAGCCCGAGTATGTATTCTCATCGTACAATGTCCACAAAAGATCGAGCCGGCAGCATCAAGTCAGGGCAGCGCTTCCAGGAGATATCTGATCCAGTTTCCGCAGCAGTTCCATATCCTGAGCAATCGTTGGGCTGAGGTGGGAAGCGTCCATTTCGACTCGTTCTTGAATACGCCAAATGACGTGCCAATCGGCAGGTAATAGGGAATGAAGATCGGGTCTCTTTTCCACCAGTCGCAGCAAAATAGCTCCTGCAAAGAAACTGATCACTTATCAGCATTTGGTCCGGCTGCTTACGTAGACACAGCGTAACTGGATAGTCGGACAACGTACCATCGGATCAAGTTAATCGGCATCGGAATTGCTCGGATACTATCTCGCAATATGCCCTGGCGCAAGACTGCCTGAAAAGTAGCCAACAGGCAGAGCTTGGCGTTTTCGTGAGCTGTTGCGGGGATGGTGCTCTGTGGAGGTGTGTTCAGTAGGGTATAGAGGAAAGGGCGCAGGATGATTGTCTTTGCAGCACAATAGCGGGCCCTAAGAGCACCGATTGCTCGCTCATAAGGCGATGCTGCTCGGCGGGTTGTCAGATCCTCGTCCTGCCACGGGTTCATATGCGCCAGGGTTGGGAAGGTCAGCTCTGCGGGTAAATGTTGTCTCCAGAGTTCCAGTTGGTGGTCTAATTCTTCGATCATCAACATAGAGGTGGAAAAGCCGGTTGAAAGGCTTGACGAGGCAGCTAGGCCAGCTGGTGAGATGTTGCTGAGGATGTCGTGTCGATTATGACGACTCCCTGAGACGCCAACATCAGTAGGTCTTCATTATCAGCTTGAGATTTGCGACACCAACCATGGCCGTAAATGTTGGAGTGAATCCGATTGAGCAATTTCCGTAGCGCTAAATGAGCAAGAAAGATCATGCGATGCAATTCGCGAGGCTCATGAGCGCTGCGGCTCTCACTAAATGGAAAGGGAATCGTGTCCTCATACCGGCTGATGCCGCTGGCTGGAAGCTCGAATTCTGCGAGGAGCTGACTGGAGTCATGTTAGAGATTGTCGGGTTTGACGGAGCGGGAGCCCATACCTTTCATGGACGTATGCCACCCAATATATCTGAATTTCAGTTGGACTCGGCCGAGGGTTACTGCATCACATGTAAACTAACTAATCGTGAAGGTTTTAGGACCATTATCGGACTTACCTCTGGAGCAGGATCATGATGATAGTACAGGCCCGTTGCACCGCCTGGTAGTGCTCCAGGACATTAATCTGCTGCGAGTAATATAACCTAGCGAAGCCGTTAGTCGTCAGTGCAGCACCAAGGGTTCGCTCTCAACACATACCCGGTTAACAATAGAGCCTGGGCAGCTCGCCAGGACACCTCTGCACTGGATCGAATTTTGAGGGACAATTGGGACAGCCGGGTATTCGCTTCGTCTGCGTCTAGGAAGGCTTTCGAGATACCGCGAGGGTCATCCGGAACGCCGAGCTCACCCTGGTCTGTCAGCGCCCTCCCACCCAAAAAGAGAACCATCAGGACGGTACAGATGTCGAGCTCAGAAGTGCTTGCCCCTGTAAGAACTGGACCCAAAATGTGATCAGAGAACTCCGATTCGACCAAAAGAGGCGAATATATCGAGAAGTCGTCGAAGAAGGCCTTCTTGAGGCATTGTATTTGCGAGAGTGTGAGACTGCTCAACAGGGTTTCGGGTGCCGTCGCCTTTTCGCTCCAGAGCAACTGCCAATTGCGGGTGTCTCGCTTGTTGTGCTCCGTGATTTCTGCACGCAGCCCATACATAGTATCCAGACGGTGAAGACTGGCTTGGAGACAAGGCCAGAGGAGGATATTCTGTGGAGCCGTACTGTGATGTAGAGGGCTGGACGGCATAGGAGAGTCCGGAGTGTCGACAGTCGCACTCCGATACGCCGGAACAGAGGCGTGCGCATTCTCCGGGGACTCTATCCTTGGTAAAGCAGCAGATTCTTCCCTCTGCAGAAGGGCGCGTAAGCCATCCATCTTAGCCTCCAGGCTTGCCAGCGACTCGCGGATGTGAAAGAGCGTCAAATCCTTCCTATCAAGAAGATTAGACCGGCTTCTTTTTCCATCAAGACGAATAGTGGCCTACTTCACCGAGGGGTTTTTGTATTGGCAGGCAAGCTGGAGCCGGACACAACGACCGCATTGTGGTTTCCCTTCATCGCACTTGGCTTTCCGTTGTCGGCAAGGCTCGCACGCCTGTCCGAGTCGATTAGAATAGATAGACTCTCGCCGCAGGGAGTGATTGTACGTTGAGTGCTAGCCGTCTAGTGACGCCTGACCCAGTCGGAGCATTTCCGTCCTCGACCGTTCCGGCAGACATTTTGTCGTGGACTCCTCGCCAGTTTCAAGGATGGACAGCGCAAACTCTTGGTGACAGTCAGGCGGCTTGAATGTTAGCCACTCCCCACTTTGGAATCGAGACGAGTTGCGTACCTCCAGTTGAAACTTCCCATGAGTGGAGTGAGCGGCAGCCTCGTGCGCCGGGCAATGGTTGATCCGCGCCGGAGGACCATACACGGGAAATGAAGGCTCTGAGATCCATAGGCATGATAAAATACGAAATCCTAGGGTGGTCAATGAAGATAATGCGAGTGGCAGCTACATATGGCCTGTGATGGAGATGAAAAGTTGTTAAGTTGTCGGCAAGGGAAGCAAACGACGGCCCCTTCCTCATCTTCGGGTAGGGTACAACTAGACTAGACTACGAAGTACGAAATATATCAGTCAAAATAATATCCTGCAGATTGTGTCTCTCCTATATTTCTCTGAAGAATTCCTTGCCCACGAGAACAATCAAACTTCCTCGAAGACCTGTGGAGGTCATAGTTTAGTGACATATGGTAGTTCCCTTTCCATCCGCAAGCGATAGAAACCCTGGCGAAAATATATAAACGAGAAAAGACGATGACTTTGTGAAGGTTCCAACATATGTTTACCATATACCATTAGGCCGGAAATGCCAGTTAATATTTAGGAGTAGCAGGCGAGTCGCTATACCCGCATTATACACCAACTTCCTTGCATAAAACCAAGGGGATTCTTGTCTCAACAATGGATCTGCGCCAAGAACCACGGACGTACAGACCAACTATTCACCTTAAGGTCTCGCTTAAGTATATGTAGAACGCAGGATGAAAGACTAGGAAGCGAACCCCGGTGAGTGCACGTATCCCGCCGGTGCGCTGGGCATCATTTATTCCTAACGTCCAAGGGTCTAGGGGTACAGGTACTCTGCATAGTGCAGATCATACGGTTAGCACGGAGCGGAGTAGGAATCCTTTGGGCTATTTATGTCAGTGACCGGTAAATACAGACTAGGTTGAATAGGAAAAGGGTCCTTTTCAATCTCAAGTTCAGGGAATATGGATAATTTGATCAGAGAACGCTAAATAGCGGCGCAGGGATCTAGCCCCGCGTTTGATTCTGGACGGGGTGCATATTACGCCGTACGGAGTACGTTGTGTGTTTCAAGGATTGCAGGGTTCTATTCCTCCTGAGCTCAGCATAACCGGGGTGTGCCAAAAAATTTCAGTCATTATAGTCAACAATCTTGAGCGTCAATGAGGTGATAGATAGTAGAAAATGGGAAGCCGGTGAATTGCCCTGGTTTCAGGGGACTCGAAATATCTGTTCCAATTCCGACATCGACTATTAAATAAAGAAACAAAATAGGTAAAGAAAGTGTCCATATCCAAATCATAAATCAATAACCCCTTGGTGGACTCGTGCTGGCCGCTCTATCCGCCAGTACCTCAACCGTCTGCTGAACATCGACCGTTTTATGTATTCCACCTCTGCTTTTCCTGCCAGCAGGATTATCAACAACAGCCCCCGCCGCACCCGCATGCGTGATCAGCCCGCTCTCATCCGACACGAGCTCATGGTCCTCCGGGTCACGGCGTGACCCAGTCGTGTTGGAGGGTGTTGCTCCCTTAACTTTGCTGAGCTTCATATCTGTGCTCTGTTGTTCGTAGTAGCCGGACTTTGATCGGTAGCTGTGGTTGCGGACCTTGGCGATCAGGATGTTGAGCGAAGGTAGGCAAGCGCAGATGAGACCCATGCCACCTTCAGCGTTTCTATTCCTGCAGTCAGTATATGCTCTTGTATGACGGATTAGGAACGACTGCATACCCTGAGAGAATGACGCAGATGAAGAAGATTGTGATATCGGGGCTGCTCCCATCGCGCAGCACAAGCACGATCCGATAAATGCTAAACGCAGTGGCCAATCCACCGGCCGAAAGCATTCCAATGACACGCAGTTTCTTGTTCCGCGACATCTGCAGCGACCATGTCAACGGCAGCGGCAGGATGAGAATCAAGATATCCGAAACCATACTGATTACCGAATCGGCGATCAAGGCGGCGCGCTGGTCGAGACATTTCGCATTCGGATCCATTGTCCAATATCCAGGAACAGGATCGCACATTCGAATTTTCACAATCTCCGCAATCACGTAGTAAATGGTGATGGCGGCTAGGAAGCCGTAGATGAAGCGCACGCGACTCTTGTAGGGCGAGAAGATCCGGACCAGGATAGAAAGGAGGGCGATCTTTGTGAAAAGGGCCATTGGGCAGTAGAGGACTGTGGCGATGTAGCAGAATTTGCGGTACTCGGTCAGGGTGTCAACGTCTGTGTAGTGAAAGCCTCCGCCGTACTTGCCGACTAGGTATATACTGTTAGGACAGTGGAATGAATGAGAGGCGTAGGTAGGACAAACCGACGATAGCGATGCCGCAGTAACCCATGAAGAGGACCTATCGTTGCAGGTTAGTTTGGCTCGATGGTCGAGCGAAGCAATGTACTTGCCCATGCCGCGAAACATGTCCCTATACTCGTTAGCAACGACCAAGAACCGGGTTCTGATTGGCGACATACAATCCTCAATTCCAGCCCACTGCCTGTACCAGGCACGGATGCCGAAGCGCAGGATGACGAAGAGGGTAACTATGGGGATGCAAAGACATTGTGTCACAAGGTTGATGGTGTGTAGAATATCCGGCCGGTCATCGTGATTTGTTGACATGACGCCAGCTCAACCCAGCATTCTTCTGTCCAAACCAGATCTCGCCGAAATCGAAAGTAAAGAGCGACAGGGAAGAGGAAAGAGTGGATGCCCGATGGCTGAAGTATCCAGCGGGGTGCAGGGGAATAAGTAGACTCAAGAGGTCGATCTGCAAGACGACTCGGTTGCCCGACTAGGGATTGAAGGATTGTGCAGGTCTCAACACTGAGATGGCTAGTTTCCGGCCATTTGGGACTGGCAGAGGAGGAGAGGCGAGCAGGGGGTGGCCGGAAATGGAATGAAAGAAGAAGGCCCATCGAGCTGAATGGATGACAGACGGGAGACCCGACAGAGTGGACGCGGCGATCAGAAACTGTCATGGCTGACCTCGCATTTGCCTCTGCTCAGGCCCACTGCTGGCTGGTCTTGTTCCACCGACGGTCCCCACCGCTCCCGAGGGCCGCCATTCCCAGTAGGGAGTCTGTTCAAATTTGTATGGTAATGTACATACAATTCGTAACAACGCTCCTACTGGGGCTGGTCTTTGTTGGGACTTGGGAGATCTCAAATTTCACTAAGTCAGCCGCGCGAAGAAGAACAGTGGCCGTCGAGGTACTGGTACTTCATTTTCTATAGGAAACTGCATATAAATCGAAGTACCTGTATCATGAAGCTATTCAAAGGTCTATCTGCGTGGTGTTCGGCTAGGAACAAGGCCATCGACGCGTTGGCAAGGCCGTTAACGCGCTGGCAAGGTTATGGAAGTGCAGGTACTTGGTTTTCTATAGGGAATCGCATATAAATCGATGTACCTGTATTTGCGAAGCTATTCAGAGGTCTATCTGCGTGGTGTTTGGCTAGGAATGAGGCCATCAACGCGCTGGCAAGGCCGTCGACGCGCTGGCAAGGTTGTGGAAGTGCAAGTACTTGGTTTTCTATAGGGAATCGCATATAAATCGATGTACCTGTA